TAATCTAAATTTTAATTTCAATCGCCTTGATATTTCCACGCTTATCCGTGGCGTTCTTTTTTCTTTTTTTTTTTTTTTCTTTAACTTGAACAACTGATTTTCAACATTTAATTATTCCCAAAGATTCGAGAGAAATCAACCTTTCGACTTTTACTGAATTTTCATCATCAACAAAGTTTCGAAATCTAGAGCTTTAAAAGCCTTTCATTCCAAAATCTTTGCAAATCTAAAATTTAAAATCCTAGAATCAATAATTTCGTCCCAAACCTATCTCCCTTCACAGTGAAGCACTGAAAATGAAGTGCAGTCGTTAAATACTGAAAAATTCGGTGTTGTAGAAAGAAAGTTGTTTGTGCCGACTATTTCAATTGTTAATAATAAGTTAAGGAAGAAGTCATCGGAAACCGAGGTGATAAAAGGAAGAATCCAAGATGGTGGTCTGCGTGGCGGGATTTCTCACGGGGTAGGTGGTTATCCAACAATCGTATTCAACGTTCGCGGGGGTGAGTTTTCAAGGGATGATTCATCGTGTGTGATTCACGAGCGTGAAACGGTCCCTTGAATGGTAATTGCCGGCAGCTGTTGGACAAAAGTGAGGTTTTTCGCCGCGAGTTCTCGAGCGTTCGCCGCGACGTTTCAGTTTCGGTCGTAATTGCGGTTGGGCAGGCTTACTTTCGGCAAATTCTCCCCGAAACTCTATTTACTTTCGCAGTGGATCATTTCGTTCGTCTTATTTAACCTCTTGCACGCGCGTCGAAAACTTTTTGCCCCCAAAATTGTAATATTTCCTCAGTTTTAAGTACATTTAAGTATAACCCAGGCAAAACAAATAATAAATTTATTACTTCTCAATAATTTCTATCCAATAATATACTAACAAGTTCGAAAGAGAAAGAAAGCGACGAATTATTGTGTACGGTTCGGTCACTCGTTATGGTCCGCAATCAGTTGCCATTAACCTCTTGCGCTGGAATGACGTGCCACGCACGTTAAGAATCTTTTATCCCAAAACTGCAATATTTTCTCAGTTTTAAGTATATTTAAGTCTAATCCAGGTAAAATAAAGAATAAATTTATTACTTCTCAATGATTTCTATCCAGTAGATATCATATTGACGAGTTCGAAAGAAAAAGAGCGCGACAAATTATTGTATACGGTTTTGGTCACTCGTTATGGTTCGCAATCAGTTGCCAGCGCAAGAGGGAGTTAAACACGAAAGAAAGAGTTGGAGATCTTTTCATTCCTATTTGAAAATATAGAGTGGGATCCTTTAAATATTCTGAATCGGTTGCAATTTATATTCTGTATGAAAGAAAGGGAAATCGAAGAATCTAGACGAAGGGAGAGGCAAGAGTTTAATTTCGAAGTGTGGAGAGGCGCGTTATATGAAATCGTTTAATTTTTCAGGGAGCAGTGAGTTCTTTGGTACAGAGAATTCGAGTTATTTTCAATGGATATCGATTGTTTGAAAGAGAAACTTTTTATGAAATTCCACTACCTTAATGATTTTGGATACATAGCGATTCAACACTAGAACCGCCAAAATTGCTCATCGAAATGAACCAATTTATAATCTCTGTTAGAAATTCTGTATTTTCAAAGATATTAATAATAAAAATTTATAGTTGACGATATGTCAAAATTAAAATTGGATGCCCTATTATATTAACAGAAGATAATACTTTTATTACTGTAAAGTCGTTAAAATAAAATAATACAGCGGCCTTTTAATCTTCTTAAGAAAATTTATTGTTTAACTTGATAATCCACGATAAGATATGCTCACATTTCATTATTTCGATTTATAAATAAAAATTTAATAAAACAACATTTTAAATCAAACTGTAGTATATTTAAAAGTAAGTGTGAATGCAGTGTATTCAAGAATCTAAGAAGTCGTGTAAATAAAAATTACTGTGCATTTTATTTATTTAATGTCTCTGATGAAAATTCTCATCGATTCTAGTGTTGATCTACTATTTAATGATTTACTCGACCTATTTTCTTTGTTTGTAAAAAGACATAATCTGTCTAACTGAAAGATAACAGTGCGTAAGTAGTATATAAAATCGAGAGAGAAGTTTCTTGTTTACCTGTTAATAAAGCTCGACGATTATTGCAATAAACGCAAGAGCCTCGCAAGAGTTGGAAACGCATTCCGGGTGGAAATCGTCGGCCTATCTACCGGCCGACAAGCGAGATCCCCGGAAATCACGTTTGGCAATCACATGGCGAGCGGATATTGAATAAACCAATGCCGGCGCTCGTCTATGGACACGTACGCGATCAAGAACAAGATGAGCCTGCGAGATTAACTTGCAAATTGCTCGCGATAACGTTGTTACCACCGTTGCTTTCCCCATCGTGATCCAACCACGAAAATGTGTTTCTTCTTTCCACGAAGAAAAAGCGCATAACAAGTGCTTTTGTATTCGCAGTGTTTTCTTCACTGTCAATAATCGGCATTAATCTGATATCAATTGATGTCAGATTAGGATTAGATAGCCGGGAGCCACGAAAATTTAGATTTCTGCTAGAGAGAATGTAAAATATAAAGTAGATATGATTACTTGTAACTCCACGAGAGTTGGGGGAACTTTCTACCAAGAGAAATGTAGAAAAATGTCCTCGCTTGTGGAGGAATTTATAACTTAAGTTTAAGGAAAGTTCTGAAGACGGAAAACTGCTTTTTATGGTTTTTCTATCGAGTGTCTTCCATCTGAAAAATAATTCAAATTTTGTCTACTGTATCAAAGAGTTCACTATTGTTTGAAAAAGATTGAAAATTTGCCCGTTCTTCTCTAAAATTTCCGGTTTCTTTTTCCTACAAATATTCCAATAAAATGAATTATATTGTATTCATATTGTATTATATTATATTATATTATATTATATTATATTATATTATTTATATTATTAATATTAATTATTATTATATTATATTATTTATTGTAATTATTACAAAAGTGCAATATTTCAAATTTCAATGAACATGTAAAATTTCTATCAGTGGGAACAAGAAATAACTGGATCAGAGTGTGTGTGTGCACATAGTGCAGCAAGATTATGCTAGATAGATTCCACTGTGTAATATTTCAAATTCAAATGAAGATGTAAAGTTTCAATCGATGGAAACTCAGAGGAATAACTGGATGCGCAGATGAAAAAACTTATTGTTAGTGCGCTATAGAAAGGCCCTTGTACCTTCATAGAAAGTATATGCAGACATTGTTGCAGACACGAAGGGGGGGGGGGCAGCTGCAAACAATAAATGTCCCATTGACACAATACGTCAGCGATATCTCTATAACGACCGGTTGCACCCTAATCGTGCACCGTTCTACCTGCATCCAATTTCCCTGTAACACCTGCGAATCGAGCCCAAAATCTATCGGACACGTCTGGTATCAATTTCCCTCGATTGCACATTGCATAACGACAGCTGCGCATCATCGTTCCCGTGAATTGATCCTTTGAAGAGACGTGACTTTCGCACGAATGTGATAACGCAACAACAATCGCAGATTAATTACGTAATTGGAGAAAGAGTGTATTGTTTTAAGAGTTAATGAGTATTAGAGACTATCATTGTGTGAATACGAATTAAAACCTTGAAACTTGGTGATTAAACTGAATCATTACGCATGATTTATATTATTTTTAAGATTCTACACGAGATTCTATTACACAATCCATGGCCCTCGAAACCAGAACATTCCTCGAACTCCATGCCTAACTATCAGATTCCATACGTTCCCCAAACTGCCTAATTCTATACAAGGTATGTCTCACTGGACCATAGTCTGCATCTGTGCTTTTGCACTTTATTAGTGTTTTCGTATTGCGCATACTTGTAACTATGAGCGTGATAATGTTTTAGAATCCTGAAGAATCTAAAGTTCTGGAATTCTGGGGCTCCGGAATTTCTACAACAGGCTTGTAAGATTTTAGAGCTTCCAAGATCCTAGAGTGCTAGAATTCCAGAATTCTAGAAGATCTAGAGTCTTAAAATTTTGTAGCTTTAGAGTCCTAAAGTCTTTGAATTTTGAAGTTGTGGGAATTTAAAGTCTTAGAATTCTAAAATCCTAGAATTCTAGAAATTTAAATCACAAAACTCTGAATTTCTATAATAAACTTCTAAGATTTTTAGAATCTCTAAAATTCTAGAGTGCTGGAATTCCAAAGTTCTGAAATTCTAGAGTCTTGAAATGTTGTGGCTTTAGAATTCTAAAGTTGTGGGAATCTGAAGTCTTAGAATTCTAAAATTCTAGAATCCTAGAAATCTAAATTACAAAGCTCTGAATTTCTACAATAGACTTCTAAGCTTTTTAGAATCTCTGAAATTCTAGAGTGCTGGAATTCCAAAGTTCTGAAGTTCTAGAGTCTTGAAATGTTGTGGCTTTAGAATTCTAAAGTTCCAGGAATCTGTAATCTTAAGATTGTAGGCTCTTGGAATCTTAGTCTTAGAATCCTAAAGTTGCAAGGTTTAGAATTTTAGAACTCTATATTTCTATCATAGACTTCTGAGATTTTTAAAGCCCTCAAATTCTAGAGTACCAGAATTCCAAAGTCCTGAAGTTCTGGAGCCTTAAAGTACTAAGGTTTTAGAATCCTAAATTTACTAGCTTCAAAACTCTAAATTTCATTAGATTTCTAAAATTCTTAGAGCTCCAAGATCCTAGAGTGCTGAAATTCCAGAAATCCTAGAGCCCTAAACTTTTAGAACTCTAAAATCCTAGAATCCAAAAAAATCTCATTGCCCTCTAGTTCTAGAATTCTAGAGCTCCAAAGTTTCAGACTTCCAGAATTTCAGAATTCCAATGTCCTTGACTTCCAAGAACTCTAAAATCTCCTCACCAAAAGCATTACAAAGTTTCTAAAGTTCTGAAATTTCTGTAATTTTCGTCCGCTCGAAATTCGAAAGTTCCGTTTCATCCTCAAATTAGATGTTTACCGTCCCAGCTCGTGCAAGAATAAAACCATCGAATTTCTGTCACAGTTTCCCGCAGAAGATGGAGAGGCCGTCGCAGCACGCGGCGAGCGTGAACCAGGTGCACGGCGGCGGTATGCACGGCGTGTACTCGTCGGGCAGCCAAACGTCCCTGACGACGTCCTACATCACTGGCCAGTCGTACGTTCAGAACCAGAACTACGCGCACGGCCCGTACAACTCCACGCCGAACGTGAGAGTGTACGCTCACGCCGGCTACAATCAGCCCCAGAGTTACGGCACCATAGTGCAGGGCTACGGTGGCCAGCCACAGGCCTCAGGATATCAGCAGAATCATCTTAAAAAAGGACCTGTACGTAACGGAGACGTGCTGAAGAGATGCCGGCTGCAGAATGCGTAAGATTAATTGACTTAATCGCACTTCTTTTCTTTTTTTCGTTTCTTTTTATTATGTTTCTTTCTTTTTTTTTTTTTTTTTTTTTTTTTTTTTTTTTTGTTTTATTCGAGGATAAGTTGCTGATCCTCGAGTTTTCCTTCGGCTTTTAAAATTTTCGATTCGAGTTTGAGAAATTTCTTTCTGGATTTCGGAGGCTTTCTCTTTCGGATTTCGGATTTCGTTCTCGTAGAATTTTTCACGACGGGCTGCGAGCTTTTAGAATTTTATCGAAACTTATTCGAAATTGGGAGTTCCGGCGAGATCTGACATTTGGAAATCTCTTCGCCGTTCGGGATTTCCCTCGAAATTTAAACGAATCCTCAACGAAGGGTTGAACTTACGAGAACAGTCCGCGAACATTCGTCTTCGTTGCCACATCAGTTCCATTCAAAATTCACTTTGCCATTTCATACCTCGCGTGCTCCGATGCGAAACTGAACGGCGAGACGGGAGATTACTTAATTTTTGCACAGTTCGTTTCGAAGCAAAACGAAAAGTCGTCCTCCCCATGGGCAAACTTTTCTTAAACGGCCTCCAGCATCGATCGCTAACCGACCTTTACTCCCTGAACAGATACGAATTGTCGCAAGACCTGCTGGACAAGCAGATCGAGATGCTGGAACGGAAGTACGGCGGCGTGAAGGCGAGAAACGCGGCGCTGACGATTCAGCGAGCCTTCAGGAGATACACGCTGCTGAAGAAATTCGCGGCGATCACCGCGATGGCCAAGGCTGAGAAACGTCTCAGCAGGAAGCTCCAGGAAACGACGGAGAGAGCCGCCAGCGTGAACGAGCACGAGAGGATGGTGTACCATAGCCAGATTTACATACAACAGCCTCAGACGGCGAACAGGCCGATGCCGATCAGGAGCATGTCCCTGAGGGAGAGGAGGCACGTGGAGAACTCGCAGTCGCCGATACCGAGGAGCCAGAGCGGCAGGTGCGAGGCCCAGGTCGCTGGCCATCAGCACGCCAATCACAACGTGCACCAAAGTGGCAGGCACACGCCCTCTCTGGCGCCGAGTCCCTGCAACAGACACCAACAGTTACCGCCGAGCCCGTGCTGGGAGTCTAGCTCCCAGGAAAGCGGCTCCAGCATGCACTATTACAATCCACAGGTGATTGTGAATGTCTATCGCCCGTAGGTTCATTGTATTCACTGTTGGTCAGGAAGGTTTGAATTTTGAGAAGCAAAGAACTTTACATTACCTCCTTCTTTAGGTAGGAATTTTGATAGGCACTCTGAGGGGATTCATTGCACATATTTTCTTTTGGAACTTCTCACAGTGTTGTAACCGAATTGGTTGAATTTATGGGCAAGGATTTTCCTGTTTGTACGTCCTCCGTTACACAATACTCGAGTCGATTATTACGGCAGCAGGTAGAAGATAAAACGAAGACTAGTTTGAATTGACAAACCAAGTGGAAAGAAAGAGTTAGATTGAAATCAAATAGGATCTGTTGTTGTACTTTAAGTTAATTAACGTGCGATTTGTTACCGCCGACAAGAGATAAAACACTGTCCGATAGATCTCTGGTTAGTTAACGCTGGAAACAGAGAGGCAAGCTGAAACGTTTAAGTTCGATTTCATTTAGATTTATACTTGTATGTTAAATGTAAAGCAGAACTGTGGTTTGGAAGGAAAAGAAAGGAAAGTAAATCGATATAAAAGAGCTTCGCTGTGCGCCCGAGCACACTGTCATTCCAATAGAACAAGAATCCAAAGAATCTCCTTGGTTCAGGAGCTGTAAAGGAGCAGATCAAGTTCTTTCTGAAACTCTATCTCTCAAGTATTCGTCAATTATTTTAATAAAAATACCGAAAGCCGCGGGCCTGGACTAAACAAGGGTAAAAGAAAGTCGCGGTTATTGTTCTAGGAGACATTGTGCAGCATCAGGCAAGAGACGCCGCCGCGGGATCTGCTACGGACGCCGTGCACGTCACCGTCGACGCCCCACAATCTTCAGACACAGGCGGTCCAGAACTGGAGTAACGCCGGCCATCTTGGCTCCGCCGGCAGAACGAGGGGATCAGCGAAAAAGGTGCCGCCGGAAGTGCCAAAAAGAACGTCTTCCATTACGTCCAGATCCATGGAGCCGCGTCACAATGGCCTCAGCAAAAGCGTCGAGAACGGTAGCCTAAGCTCGGTGCAGAGTTCTGGCAGCGATTCCACTAATTGCGAGAGCTCCGAGGGAGACGCCCAAAGAGGATCACCTGTGTGGAAGCATAAAGGAATCGTGAGTTCCTTCCCGTCTCTGTGTCTGTGTCTCCCAGCCCCCTTTGTTTCGCCTCTTCCTTTTGTTTCTTCTCAGACACTTTCGGCTAGACGAATTATTCAAAGACGAAGACTGATTTGTTTGTTGCTGTTCCTCTGTTGCTGCGAAACGTCTATCCCCTAATGCGCAAATTTTCCAAAGAAGAACGAAACGATGAAGTAATCTTTGTCACGTGCGTTAGATATATAGGTCATTTTTATTTGGATTAGTTACATGATAAATTGCTGCTCTTCTTCCAGTGTCTGTCTATTTGAGATAGCCTTCTTGTTTATTTTCGAATCATTGGTACCATAATAATTAATTTAATTGTAACATTGCAAACACGTCGTCACAATTTCAAATCAACTCTGATGAATCTGCCATTCACAATGCCCGGAGGCAAGCGCCGCAAATTAAGGAAAATCCTTGCTACGAAATTCACTTGAATTTGTAATTATTGCTCGCAGTAGAAAACAAAAAAAAAAAAAATTGTACACTTTTAAATCCTGTATTATAAAAGAGAAGAAAAGAACTGGCCGAACTTAGCAGTGTAAGCGTTCCTCACATTTTTATTTCTGCGTCTCTACAGTCAAGTTCGCCAGAACACCAGGAATGCTCCAACCACACGACAGACTCGAACACCATAATGAACAGCGTGAAGGATCTTGGTCACTCTCACGCCAGTTCCGGGTACCAGCTTCCTCTGATGGACCATCCGGAAAGTATGCCGCAGACGAGCTACAAAGTGTCCGAGACAGTGAGGAAACGTCAGTACCGAGTTGGCCTAAATCTGTTCAACAAGAAACCAGAAAGGGGGATCAGTTACTTGATCAGGCGAGGATTCTTGGAGAACAGTCCTCAGGGTGTGGCGAGATTTCTGATCAGTAGGAAAGGCCTGTCGAAACAGATGATTGGGGAATACCTAGGAAACCTTCAGAACCCCTTCAACATGGCTGTGCTTGAGTAAGCATCTTGTTCTGTCCACATTTCCACATTTCAACGCGTCGCTCGTCGTTATTTCTTCTGCAAAGAAGAGGAAAGGAAAGTGAAGATAGGGGGCAGCGTCAGTCAGAGAAAGTTAATCTATTTGTTTATCACGGTGATCGGCGATCGACGTAGCGGAAACACGCACGTTCGGGTCCGTTGCTCGTTGTTTATTATGGAAAGCCGTTTTCTCTTCGCGTCGCCGTTTAAGGACGCGATTGTTTCGTTTCAGTAGCTACGTCTTTGCAGTTCTTTGCCTCAGCGGTGGGCAAAGGGTAATTCACCGCGAACCGCCCGTGAAAGGAGCTACTAGAAACGGCATTGATCCGTTTGCCGGTCGTTCAAGTAGTTTCGAGAAAAATTTAGGTCAAGGAGGATTGGTAGCGGACAACGCTTCAGTCGCGGCTGTCGCGCAACTACCAACCGATCGCTATAATAATAATTAGAAAAATATTAATGTAATAATAGTTGGAAAAATGCGAGATCTTTTTTTCTTTGTTAAACAATTTAAACAGTACGGAATTTTGCTCTCTAAGTTTATGAAGCTGGTATCTCTAAAATTTGTCAAAGACGACAGTAGGTGGTCCGCCGTAAAATAAACCTAAATTCGAGTTCCAAAGAATCGTCTTTGGGTGCAGCGTGTAACGTGAGCCAGTGCAACTGGGCCACAACCGTAGACAGAAAAAGAAACACGTGTTGGCGGAACGGATATACTTGAGAATAAGTTCGGAATGATCAAGGGTATACTTCGGAAACCATCGAGGCCGAAATTAAAATTTAACGCGTTTCAGACGTCGAGGACAAACAATGGAACGCGAAGAAGCTTGAATATACAAATTACATTTTTGTTTCAACTTTCTAGCGGTTTCAGAGAGTGTGAAGTAAAAAAAAAAAAGACTTGAAATACCTGGAAATACCTCAGAAAACGGACAAGTTGATTGCAGTGAATGTTCCTATAATTTCCAGATGCTTCTCCCACGAACTGGATCTGTCAGGAATGCAAGTGGACGTCGCCTTGAGGAAGTTCCAGGCGTACTTCCGGATGCCAGGCGAAGCACAGAAGATAGAACGACTGATGGAGGTGTTCAGCCAGCGTTATTGCCACTGCAACCCGGACGTGGTGTCCAGGCTACGCTCGGCGGACACTGTCTTTGTACTGGCCTTCGCGATAATCATGCTGAACACCGACCTGCACACGCCGAACCTAAAACCAGAGCGTCGAATGAGGCTGGACGACTTTGTGAAAAATCTCAGAGGCATCGACGACTGCGGCGACATCGACAGAGACATATTGGTTGGAATTTACGAGAGGGTGAAGGAGAACGAGTTCAAACCTGGCTCGGATCACGTTTCTCAAGTGATGAAGGTTCAGGCGACGATCGTTGGCAAGAAGCCCAACATGGCCCTGCCTCATAGAAGATTAGTTTGCTATTGTCGACTGTACGAGATCCCAGACATCCACAAGAAGGAGAGGCCGGGTGTACACCAACGAGAAGTATTCCTCTTCAACGATCTCCTCGTCGTGACGAAGATTCTCAGCAAGAAGAAGAACAGCGTCACTTACACGTTCAGGCAGAGCTTCCCGTTGTGCGGGATGGTGGTCACGCTGTTCGAAGTTCCTCGTGAGTTTCAGTTTATCCTGAAAACAGTTCACTTATTCCTCTTTGTAGAATACTAAAGATTTGTCACCTATCCTTTTTGCTGTATGGAATACTAAAGATTTGTTACCTATCCTCTTTGCTGTATGGAATACTAAAGATTTGTTACCTTATCCTTTTGCTCCAATTAGAACCTTTGCCTTTCAGATTATCCGTATGGGATTAGGCTCTCCCAGCGCGTGGATGGAAAGGTGTTGGTCACGTTCAACGCGAGGAACGCGCACGACAGGTGCAAGTTCGTGGAGGATCTCAGAGAGTCCATCAGCGAAATGGACGAGATGGAAACCTTACGGATTGAGACGGAACTAGAACGGCAAAAGAGCAGCAGAAGCGCCAGGGGTGGCGCTGAAAATAGAGACTCTGGAGTGGCAGACGTCGAGATATGCCCTTGCCCGGGGCCCTGCCCCGAAAGATCAGAAACCACTGACATGGACACCCAATTAAAGCGTTCTGCACTTAGTAATTCCCTTCTGGACATACACGAACAATGTGAGTGAAATTAATCTGTATTTTACGTGTCAACACGTAATATACGTTCACTGACACACACTAAAATACACTAGCGTTCGTAATTTCTCTGTGTCAAACGAAGACTGCTAGTTCTAGAGATGGATAGACATTTAGTAATTATTCACATCACAAATGTCAATAACAATTTCTTTCTTTTCATTTCAAGGGATTGTCTAACAATTTTACGTGATCTTTTATTCAAATTCTTCATATCTGTAGAATATTGATATTCCAAACTTTCAGTCTGTAAGGTAAAAATTAAAATGTTTGAAGTTTGAATATTCTCGTTTTGTTTTGTTTCTTACAGTTGCTGGTGAAAAACCACAACGACGTGGAAGCGTGGGCTCACTTGATAGCGGTATGTCGATTTCTTTTCAATCCACATCTGCCAGCTCAATGAGCCAAGGCATTAAACACCCTGGACAAGTTCATCCTATACATCCAGGGGCTACGATCCCTGGCGGTGCTAAAGGACTGGCTCAGCAGCCATCTTTTTTAGGAGGTCTGTTCGCCAAACGGGAACGAAAGCTTTCACAATCGGAGGAGTCCGGCCCGTACAGTCGCACCACGGAAGTGTAATATATCCTTCCGGTGCTACCTAAGAGATAACAGGCCAAATGGAACTCCCACGGAGAGGCACATCCATTATAGCAGTATCAAGCACACAGGATATGCTACTCAAATTTTCATGAGAAACTGTTCTTCAAAGTTACATATGCTCCATGTATTACGTACGGATTTGTACGTAACGTCAATAACTTCCATTACAGTTATAGCATTGCATATAGATCATGTTTGCAATGTTGAGAGATACCAAACGGTTCCCTCGTGAAAATTTGAACGTTGTATCCTGCGTGTTTGATACTGCCAAAATATAAAGTGACTCGAATACTGTGGATGCTCTTTGTCAGATGGAATACGTGAACCCTTTCGCTTCCCTACGGCTTTTAAGGAAACAAAAGGAACGCCGACTTTATGCGTGATTAAAGAGGCCAATGCATCTCGAAGACAAAGAAATGGAAGACACGTTGTCATCCCACAGCCAGATGGAGCCTAGAAACGTCGCAACGCGAAGACGAAGAAAGGAAAAGTAACAAGAGGAGAGTAAGAAGATAAAATAGAATAGGCAGTGTAAATTTATTGGGTTGGGCAGGATCCAATCGCGATCACTCGAGGCAAAAAAAAAGAAGAAAAAAGAAGGAAAAGAAACAGATTTGGCAAGATAGCGAATTGAAATAGCCTCTATTGACGCGCATATATAGTATTTATTCAATCCAAAAACGTCGGAGAAAAGAAACTTCGATTCATTTTTTTCTTACGGTATTTATAATAATTCCCAACAGAGGGTGACGTAACTCCCTCAACGCATGTAGATAATCGTTCTGTTGGTTTCTTAGAATTCCATAAACCGATTTTCAACGAAGAAAAAAACCATGTGACTCGATACAAAGTATCTTCTTCACATCTTACAAGATAAAAAAAGAAAAAAAAAAAAAAGAAAACTGAACGGTTTATGGAGAAAGAGTGGTTCTAGTGTAATATCGTGTTTTTTGCAAGTATCGACATAGTTATACTTGAAGAATTGTACATAATAGATATATAATGACAATTGTATGATTACAATGATGATAATGATAATAACCCTGTAACAAAAAAAACAAAAAAATGCATCATAGCCTAAGAAACCGATAAGCAATCCCCCTTTCAATATTAGATGCATGTCGATGTCTAACAAGTTTTTAATATCACATCAGTGAAAAAAAATAATAATAATAAATCGTTTAAAGGTAGCAGTCTTTATAAGTATTAACACTTGGAAGAAAAAGGAAGTTGTAGAGAGGCGTTTTTCTGTTGTCACGGTACATTCTCATAATCTTCTACAAATTGTAGTTCTGCTTGTGTGTTCAGAGTTGAGCATTTTTTTTTTTTTTTTTGGTCTAAAGCAGCGTACTAACGAGAAGAATCAATTAACCAAATTAGTTGGTTTCTCGTCCGATAGCGCGCGCGTAGCTAACTCACAGTGTCATCTTAAACAAACGTTATAAGGAGGAAGAGGACAACTTGTATGCCTTATATACTGCCACAACTTATCATCCAGGAGATGAGAAACTGACTAATCGTCTTAAAGATTATTAGGGAGATAGAGGATCCCTTGAAGGTTGCAGAATTACATTTGGAAAAGTGAAGTAGAGCTTGTACATATATACATTACCAGCGATCGCAATACCAATTGATAATAATTAAACGAAAAAAAAGAAAAAGAAGAAAAAAAAAATAAAAATGGGATGTCCATTGATTTCAATGACTAATCAGTGAAGTTTGATACACTGTACATTATTGTAATTCGTTCCGGACTTTGGGAGTTTCTTTGTAATTAACGTTGTTGTGATAACTTGCGCACGCATTATACCGATTCTTGTATAAACTTTAAGAATTTATTTTCGTAGTTCTCTTTAACGATGATCTTGGAGGGGGTTTAAGTGACTAACATTTTTGCACTGCTGATCGATAAGCACTCTTAACGTCTGTTTGAAACATTACATCTTCTTATTCGCGCGTAATTCGAATGCTTCAGCTGTCAGAAGAAGTATCCTCGTTGGAGAATCAGCTTGTTTTTCTGATCAAGCGATTTTCAGAGATACACACTCGCGTTCTCTGGATTAAAAGTGACGAGATGACATTTCAAACGAAAATTCACTCAGTCCAGTAGTAACTATTATACGGTCTAAAATTCCAGATTCTGCTACGAGATGCATACAGTTCTTGGACACAACATGGTTACATCAATCGATATTGTTGATTAATGATTTAAATTACAACCTCACACTGTATCTCTTCCATCGAATACACACGTGTCGTTCACAGCTGAAGGAAAGCAAAACCGAGAGAACTCGAACGCAACTTGGTACAGTTGGCAAAGTGTTCATCCTAATTGTACATAGGCTCCCATGGATCCGTAACGAGTCTGTAGTCTTCAGAGTTATTAATTCTAGTCTTTCTCATCAGGAGAGTTCTCCGGTTACGCTGTAATGTTCGCGCGCGAGAGAGAATGAGTGAGAGAGAGAGAGAGAGAGAGAAAGAGTGAGAGTGAAAGAATTCCATAAAACTTTGTCAGGAAAACTTTAACATAGCTTTTAAGGATTGTGGTTTACAATAAAGAGTGTGAGGTCAGTCTAGCATTAAAGGATCGCGTCAATTTGCATGAACGATGAAACAAATTGCTCGTTCAGGTTCCCAGAGTTGAAAAGAAAGAAAAGAATCAATATGCGGAAATTCTTCTGTGATAAACTTCTTACGAACGAAAAAAAAAAGAAAAAAAAATACAATGAAAAAAGACTGATTAAGAAGACCATCTTCTATGTCGTCGTATTTAGAGGGAAACTCATGAGAAAGAAAAAGAAAATTAGAAAAAAAAAAGACCATCGCGAACGCTCTCACGAACTCGCCCATTGTCACGATTATTTCTGTAAATCTTGTGAATTTTCGTTTAAAAACGATGAAGACATCCGCTTCATGGACGAAGATCCATCGATCGTTGTAGTTGCACTTCGACGTTCTTCAAGCCCAATCTCATATGTACAGTTTATCCCTTTATCTTTAAGCAGTTTTAAGCAGTTTAATGACTGTTATCATGTGAAAGTTTTCTCGCACGATCTCATATGTATACGTATATCTATATAATAGGCGAAACGAGACATAAATTTCAGTCGGACATTAGTAAAATTAGTGGGTACCAAAGTAGACATGATACTATAATTTTCATTAGAATGATTTACTTACTTAAAAGAAGAGCAGCTTGGGAATCATGAGAAAAGGTAGTGAATAGCGGTCATACAACATCGAAGCAATATAACATTGGGACATTAACACGAATTACATCATTAACATGAATTATTCGCGAATGTATGGTGACTAGATTCGATTTCAATTTGACGCGATCTTCGAAAACCGACAACATGTAAAGAAAAAAAAAAAGTGTCGATAACTTTAGCGCATTTGATGAAAAGAAAAAAAAAATATTTGATGAGAAAGTAAATAACTACGTTATTAATTAAGAAATAACAATCGCTCCCCGTACGAAAGTATCGCCTCCTTTGTTAATCTAACGAACGCTGTATGCACATTGTGTTAATAAAGAACTATGAGTCTGAAACGTAAATCAAACCAATGTCCTTGCCCTCCTAAATAATAACGTAAATAATTACCCAGGAAGTTGTACTAAATAATCGATATATTTAGCGATTTTAGACAGTTTGTATACATCCCTCCAGTTTCTTGTAAAGTTATGCTTCTGTCGCATGGCGTGGAGAATCGAAAAGAAATATTCTTGAAAATTGTGTAAGGCATCTTATATCTACATCAAATTTGCAAATCCCGTTGATTGGAATATTCAACTGAATAATTGAAACGATGAGTTTTAAGCTTCAGTTACTTAATTCTACAATTAACTTAAAGAAAGTTAGAAAAAAAAAATGAAATTTTGTTCTAAAACTTTGATAGAAGTATCAAACAATAAGGAAAATTAATGCTTCCTTCGTTTGTCACGATCGTCTCTGCGTTGCTCCCGCTCGTCTTTGCGTTTTGTCGTCGTGGTGGTAGAACTGCTCGCGCGCTTGGCTTGTTTCAAGAACTGATCTAAACCGAAAGGATCTTCTTCATCTTTCTCGAATTGTACCGGTCCTGAGCGTGTTGTTGATCTGTCGGTTCCACTGAATTCCTTATCCGGAACAAATCTAAAATCATGGGAGAAAAATTTTTATAGAAGAACACTTTCATTCAGGAACTTCCTTCTCCACTTTAATTCCTCGAGTGTCTTTAAGAAATCAAAGTTAAACTTAAATTGTATCGACAATCAAGTACCTGTTCGTTTTAACGAGCTTCTCCAAATCATCTCCGTAAGTATCTTTATCAATATTTTTACTGGGACGGTATATATGAGAGCCAATGGAATTAGAATCTTTCCAGGGCTTGTCGTAAACGTTATATTCGTCATCGTGTCCATAACCACTATCCATTCCTTTGCTGGTGTTGAACAATCTCTGATCAAATTGTGCTTCTCCACTATTGGGAATGCTCTTCGCTGGCAAACCAAGTGCGATCTGTTCACTGATGTCTCGCTCTCGTTCGCGTTGCAATCTGGAACGTTTATCAGGTGCAGCGCGCGCCAAATTCCGTTCTCGAGCCCGGTCCTTGTGTCGTTCTTGCCTGAGCTGATCTCTTTCTCGTGACTCTTCCGATTTCTCTGCACAATAGCAAAAAACACGACGCTATTGAACACTTGATGTTAAACAAATATATTCTAAATATTCTAAAATAATCAATTCCAAAAATTGTAGACAAACTAAACAAAAGTGCACAGGGAAAATATACAAACCCATCGCAGCTGATTTTAAGCCAGCGCGTTCTTCTCTAGCTTTCTGTGCTAATTGCCTCAAATGGTCCTCCTTCTTCTCTTTTTCCTTCTGGGCAAGCTTCTTCTCAAGCTGCGCTCGCATTTCTACCGCCTCTCGAGCCTTTCTATCCGCGATGTAAAGAGCTTCAGCCAATTTGGCGAAGTTCTCATTTATATGAACCTGCTGCAACCCGCGACCGTCTGCTGCTAAACGTTTATCTAGCGGAATCGTGTATCCCTGAAAATAAAATCTCCGTCAGTAACATGTCAACAGTGACTGATAGTGAGAGAAGCCACTAACTTTCGCGTTTTTCCAATTACTGATACAGGGCGGTATTTTCCATTCCTTCTGTTCTTTTACTGTTACTTTCCTCGTAGGTGAATGCATCACTGGCGCTGGAGGTGATGGAGGACCACGCGGTATTTTCTTATTAATTCTATAATTAAGAAACACTACATTATTCATAATGTAGTTAACACGGTTTGCAATTAATATATAATTTTTTCAGGTACTTGGTCCCAAGAAAATTTATATCAAATGAAACTCACTTGAATTTCGGTGGTTCTAAAGGATCTATCTGAGCTTCCACCATTCTAATCACTCTCTGTTTAGCCCCGGAATTGAACGACTGTCCCTGCTGGGAGGGCGTGTATCGAATGTATTGCGCTGGAGCTTGTTTCTCGGCGCATCTTACTGGCATTGCCGCAGCTATCTTCGATCTCGTTATCTTTTCTAATGCTTTCTTAGTTTTCTCCGTCAGTTCATCAATTTCCTCAGTAGGTGGACGCTGTAAAGTGGGATCCTCCTCACTTGTAATTTCCGATGGTAGTAGATCACTCAACTTGCTGTACACAATCTGCAGAACATAAAACAAGCAAAGATAATGCCTACATAATTAAATGATATTATTGAAGTGCACTAAATTACCTTATCCTTAGAGTGGCCTTGCCTAGCAATGACATCATATTTCACTTTCCCTTGGGCATCAAGCTGAACTGCCAAAGCATTACTGGTAGTTTCTTTTCCTTTCATCCCCATCCCAAGTGGATACTGGGCCACATGAATCTCTGGGAATGCTCCACCATCTCCAAAATCCTGTACAATTTATACAAGTAAATTGGACACTTACAGAAACAGTTCAAAGAAGATACCGAAACATTCACTTGCTTCAACTATATTTATTACATAAAGATAAATAAACAGAATCTCTTACCTCTGGGTTTCTTGGTACAAATCCTTTACGTTGGCCATACGGTGGAGCAGTAACAACTGCTTTGACAAGAGCAGATACAGGTCTCTGTCGCAATTTCTGTTCCCGTGCTTCATCTTCTCTGTCCCACACCACCTGCGATGGCGCAGGTAGTAAACTGTAACAAAAACATCTTGTCAGTATTGTTACAAAGCAAGATACAGATTAAAATAAATAACATAATGACATATATTAAAATATAATGCGAACAGTAAAATTATTACAATAATCGCGCAAATACAAAGCAGTTATGTCGTTTGTTGTGTTTGACAAATAAGCATCGGATTACATCAAAATACACTGAAATATATCACTTAGAAAATTCTAGGGTTTCGCGAACTTTATCATATAACGTACAGATTTTACATTTCGGAATTCTATAGATAACAGAAAGAAAAGAAATAATTTTGGCAAATCACAAAGACTAACCTTGCTAACGACATTTTGTCAATTATAGAAACGTAGCGATGCCACCAACTATAGAAACATTTACGTACTAGCATAACAACGAAAATAGTTGTGTATCGAAAAATAATGTCTGTTACAAAAAAAATCCCTAGAATTGATCTGGTCAAATCTCTAGAAAATTCTCTAGAAAGTGCTTGGAAAATATCTAAGAAAATACAAAAAGTGATTGTACTTTTTTGATTGAATTTTAAAAAAATTATACCTTGAAATGAATATAAAATGAATGAAAATAGTATAATGTTACAGGAAGTATTGTATAAAAAAAAATACACTAGAAAAACATCATTTATTTGTACATTGTGGTGAATTGATCTAAACTAATCACAGCCATGGTGTAAAGTAAATGTAAATAAATAATATGAAAAATAAATTGAATTACTCTCTGTTTTTTAATTAACGTTTCGTACATTTCTCGCACTGATCCATCATTGAGTAAATCCTCGCCAAAACGTCGCCACATCTGCCCTTCATTTTAATTTCTGCGAGATCGTCCGCTCTGGTTTTCCCAATGTTTAATATAGCTATCGGCTTTTTGGCATGGCTAGCTTGCAACGCTATTCGATAGCCAGAAAAAGTAGTTAGTGTTGTGCCCAAAATTAGCAGAGAGTCTGAATGCTCGATATTATATCTAACACTTTCTACAACCTGACGCGGAACATTGTCTCCAAAAAAGATGATGTCTGGCTTAAGAACACCACCGCAGTTTTCACACGATGGAACTTGAAATCCCTCCACCTGCTCCTGAATTAAAACAATTTGTTTCAATCAAAGCTTCTTAAATTATCCTTGAAGTTTCTAAAATATTTGTAATGTTATTTACCTGTGATAAATCCACATCTCCGTCAGGCCTTATCATTTGGCTGGTTGCAGTCATATTTGGATTTATCTTATCAAAGATCTCCTGCAAATAATATCTGCATATTCTTTCATTACAACTAAGGCACATTACTTTAAAAGCTGTTCCATGTAATTCTATCACTTTTCTGCTACCTGCTTTTGTGTGCAAATTATCTACATTTTGAGTGACGACGCATCTTACTTTGTTCAAGTCCTCTAGTTTTTTTAATATTTGGTGCGTACTATTCGGCTTAATTGAAGAGAATCTATGAAATGAATATTTTTTTAATTACATGTTCATCATACGTGACTTGATGATTAATCTTGTGAAAAACAAGAATTACAACCTTGGCCAACCTACGTAATTCCTGGCCCAATATCGCCTCCTAATGTCAGCACTATTGCAAAAGTCTCTGTAAAGAACTGGTCTGCGATTGCTTCGCGCATAAAGGCCAACACCTTCTGATCTATAATCAGGAATCCCACTTTCTGTGGATATTCCTGCTCCTGTTAATATACACATGTTATTGTGACTGTTGATAAAATCCTTTAACATTGATAAATCTGTATCTTTTACAGGTTCACATTTTGGGACGAATATAAGATTTGATGTATATGTTCTACCTACAATATACTTTCAATAATAAAAATACTTAAACTTTAAATTATTAACTTTAAGTTATTAACACTGAATTAAATATTAGTATTGAAATAAAAAAGGAAACTCACATAATAAAGTTCCTATTGGATTAATGGTTTTACACTTCATGCTCAACATCTCCCTACATAACAATTATATTAAAAATACCAGAATATTATTTAATTTTACTTGAGGTTAATTTCACCTCGTCGTCGTGTTCTAAACTGATGTCTATGATGTAATCTTTCTATGATGTGATCTTTCACGTCAAAATGATTATCGAAAACGTCATACACTATGACTAATCTTTTTCTAAAAAAATCGCTCATGGTAATAAAAAATCATTTAGGAATAATTATCCCGACATTTGCAAAAAGATTAAAATCAGATAAAAAAAAACACAATCTCTCACAAGTAGTTAAATATGCGAAAATTCAAGTAAATCTTAGATCATCCTCAAAAACTGTTCAAAGATAAATTTAAAATAAAGTAAAGAACGAAATATTTAACATCATTTCTTTTTTTTTTTTTTTTTTAGTTTCTTAGACGAATTTTCAAAAAGAAGTTGAGAGCTCTCTGAAAAAAATTTGTGCTCTTGTTGGAATGCCGCGAAAAAAAAATCCCTAAATCGTTGAACGTCGTCCACTCGATATTGTTCAGGTCAGTTGAAGCCATCGATAGAAGCGTGCTCGGAGGATACATTGTGATATAGCGAGTTTTGATTGTTATTTAGTGAAATGGCAGCAATCAGTTTGTTGAATCCTAAAGCTGAATTTGCTAGAGCTGCCCAAGCATTGGCTGTTAATATATCAGCTGCGAAGGGAATTCAAGATGTAATGAGAACGAATCTCGGGCCGAAGGGTACCATGAAGATGTATGTATACTCACTCTCACGTGCGAATTTAACAATCCTCTGAGTCATTTGTTTGAGAAGTTAGAGAGAAATGTTGAAATTAGAAAGTACAAAGTTACGGAAGTTATTTTGTACTTTCTATTTTCTACGACTGTTGTTTGCGTGTCATGAAACGTCATAACTAAGTGTATTATCCTTATTAGGTAAGATTAAAGCTCCGTGAAATGCCGGGTACATACAGTATATAACACTATATAAGTCGTTGTTCAAGAAAGAGAATATTCATTTTCATTTCCATTTTCATACTGTCACCGAATATGTTATGAAATCACTGTAACTGTGCAATTCAAATGTTTTTCAAGGTTGGTGTCTGGAGCAGGTGATATTAAAATCACCAAGGATGGAAATGTATTGCTGCATGAAATGCAAATACAACATCCGACGGCGTCTCTGATTGCCAGAGCATCCACTGCTCAGGATGATGTTACTGGGGATGGTACAACTAGCACAGTATTAGTCATTGGGGAACTTTTGAAGCAGGCTGATATATATATATCTGAGGGCCTCCATCCCAGAATGCTCACCGAAGGTTTCGAGTTAGCTAGAATCAAGACTTTGGAAGTACTGGATTCATTGAAAATCCTAATCGAGCCAACAAAGGAAAATCTAATAAACATTGCTAGAACATCACTCAGAACTAAGGTTCATCCCACCGTAGCGGACAAGCTAACAGAGATCTGCGTAGACGCAGTTTTAACCATTATGCAAAAGGATCAGGAGATCGATCTGCACATGATCGAGTTAATGGAAATGCAGCACAGAACCGCGGCTGACACAAACTTAATTCGTGGTATTGTAACCGACCATGGATCCAGACATCCAGATATGCCTAAGAGAGTAGAGAATGCTTACATATTGACTTGCAATGTTAGCTTGGAATATGAGAAGAGCGAGGTAATTGGATCGATGTGGAGAAAGAATTAATTGTGAATACTGAAATTGTGTTTTTCTTACAAAGGTAAATAGCGGATTCTTTTACAAAACTGCCGAGGAACGTGAGAAATTGGTAGCTGCAGAACGTGAGTTCATCGACAACCGGGTAAAGAAAATAATTGAGCTGAAGAAGAAATTGTGTGACGGAACGGACAAATCATTTGTCGTGATAAATCAGAAGGGAATTGATCCACCGTCGTTGGATATGCTCGCTCGGGAGAACATTTTGGCTTTGCGTAGAGCGAAACGTAGAAACATGGAACGCTTAGCGCTGGCTTGCGGTGGAACAGCTATGAATTCCTTTGACGATTTGAAGGAGGAACACTTGGGATGGGCTGGACTTGTTTACGAACACGTATTGGTAAACAATTTTTGAACAATACGATATCAAAAGAACTGTCTTTTATATAGAATAAAAACCTGTTCGTTTGATTAAAAATAATTTTCGTAGGGGGAGACAAAATACACGTTCATTGAAGAATGCAAAAAACCGAATTCCGTGACGATTCTATTGAAGGTAGAATAATGAATTACACTTTTAAATGATGTTAATCGTTTTTGATTTTCAATAATTATAATTTAATAATACCAGGGCCCAAATAAATATACCTTAGAACAATTGAAAGACGCTGTAAGAGATGGCCTAAGAGCCATTAAAAATGCTATTGATGATGGCGCAATTATTCCCGGTGCTGGTGCTTTCGAAGTAGCTGCTAGTCAAGCACTGCATTTATACAAAGAGAAAGTAAAAGGAAAACAACGCTTGGGCGTACAAGCTTATGCAGAAGCTTTACTCGTCATTCCGAAAACTCTCGGTACGTGAAACGTTTCAAATTATCAATTGTCTTCTCAGAATTATATATTTCAATATTTCTTTTTTATCTAGCTGTAAATAGTGGATTCGATGCACAAGATACAATTGTTAAGTTGTTAGAAGAAAGATCTACGTTAGGCGAGGCAGTTGGATTAGACATTTCTACTGGTGAAGCGTTGAAACCCACAGATGCTGGTATATATGATAATTACAATGTGAAGAAACAAATTATTAATTCGTGGTAAGTACATTTATAAAACCTTATTTAAATTGAGATTTTACACTACCGATATTTTCTCTGAAATATAAACTTTTATTTGTAGCACAATCATCGCTAGTAATCTTCTTTTGGTTGATGAAATTATGAGAGCAGGATTATCGTCTCTAAAAGGTTAAATCATATACAAAACGAGAACGCTTTATGATTTTATGGTTCTTTTATCTAACTTAAATGTTATATTTGTATGATCTCTATGCATAATTTCTATGTTTTTATATGCTTCTAAGTAACAAGAGAATTGCACAGCGTAACAAATAAAATGCTACTTTTAAATTAAAACATTTGAAAACGATAAAAATATTATGTTCTTTATGAATTTTCCATCACTGATTGGCATACACACATTGCGAAATGATCATCTCAAATATATGTAACTTTGTACAATCAATGATTTAAATAAAAGAAAAAAAATAAAATGAAATAATCGTTTGTATAAATATTATTTTCATAGTAACACATGTTCAAATTTCTGTTATGAAGAATGTAAATTAGAAATGACGACCACCGTTATTATAAAAATCAAAAATATTTATGTGAAATTTTATATTTACAGTACACGATATTTACAATTTCTGTTTCTAAATGAAACTATTTACAGGACACTCAGTCTTGTTTTTCCATCTTATGTTCGATGTCATCAAGCTTAATTTTAAAACTCGAGCAGATTCGACTTTAAACGCAATAAAATATAAATTTTAAATACACATTTATCGTATAAAACGGTATATTAGATACAGTAAAACTCCATTTATATGAACTTGTAAGACAAATAATTTATATGACAAAGGTTCATTTTCTATCACTGATTTTTTCGTTCACATAATAGGATCCAAATAAGTGGATTCAAATAGAAACAATTTATTTAATCGGATATTGATTAAAATTTAATTGAAATAAATACAATTCTACTGTATCAACACGTAAAATTGTTCACCGATACTTTCTTAAAGCAAAATTGAAATCAAATCTTCAAATTTTACTGGATAGGTTTTTACTAATAAATGGTTTATTATTATCTTTACAATTGATAATGATTCTTCAGTATCGATAAATTTTACGCGTTAAGATTTCATTTTTTTATATTTATCATTTTTACAAAATTATCTTTTAAAGTATGTTTAAATTCGTCATTAATTATTTTTGAATTAATAAGACATGGCCGATATTAAATATAAGTACTTAAAAGAGATATTATTATACGTTATTATTTGTAAAAATAAGAAAAATGTAATTTCTAATATTAAGAGATTTTACATATTCCAAAATAAATAAATAATATCTATCTTTTTCAAAGCATCTAGTTAATGTATATCGCCTACACTTTTATTTAAAATTTCCATGCTATATAATTCTGCGTTTTGATTTTTGGAATAATCCTTTATCAACTTATAGCACGACACATTTTACCTCCGTACTTAACAGCTTTTTATAATATTTTTTAATTAAAAATATATGTGCAGAATATATATGTATATATACAACATTGATATAGTTAAAGTGGTAAATTGATGTCACAGTAATCGAATATGATGAAATACAATTTTTATAGATACAAAAAACATTTTCTCTCTCGTCTAAGTCCAATTCTTCAATAAGGTAATTTACAAAAGAGCAACATAATCTTATAGGAAGTACAAATATACATTTTTTTTTATATTTCTCAAAATTTCTAAATGTACACTAATGGTGAGTATAAGCACAAAATATATAACTATCAAACGATCAACTGTGAGAACTCTTTACACACGTTTTCCGTATCATCACAATACATCGAGGGAATCAATGAATTTTATAAAAATTCATTGTTGTTTTAATATCTTTTAAGTATAACGTCACAGAGAAACGTACATAATACCGTGAGTTACTTTGGTTACTGTTAATCATCATATCAATAATGATCACACAATAAATATTTATCATACTAAATTAAACCGCGTCAGCATTTACTTTTACCTTTACATTTCCATTCATTGCTTCAATTTTTTAAGCGCTGGGATGTTCTTGACGTCATTTTTGAGATCTTTCAGTGTTATCTTCGGATTGATGTTGATCAACTGTGCAAGAGTGGTACAGTTCACTTTCATACGATGTCCGCCAACTACCATGTACGTGTTCAACTTGGCTAAATTAACAGGACTTCTAGGAACACCATAATAAGAAAACTGTTTACTCTTTGTTTCTTCTTGATCATCTGGCATTTTATTACTAGTAAGATATCTTGAATATGGATTAGTAGATTTCCTTGCCACCGCTTTTAGCCTGTAAGGCATAGCGTTCAGACGAACTGCACTCTTAGCAGTAGACTTTTTCGCTACTGCGTTCTTCCGTGGTAATCCCGACGTTGACGGTTCTGAATCTTTGTTTTTATCAGAACTCATTTCAGGTTTCTGCCACGTGACTTTAACCATCATATTCTCAAGCAATGACTCATAATTCTGTATACTTTCTATCTTCAATTCCATGTCAGGATGTTCTTCGGTGTTATGCGTGGAGATGTCCGAGGGAGAACTGAAAGATTTATTACAATATTTACATTTGAACAAATTTATATGCTTGGACACGTGGCTCCTCATAACGTTAAGAAGCGTCGTGGTGAACGGGCACTCGGGACAGACGTATCCTTGAAACACACTGGTCTTTTCTTGGATCTTGAAGTTCAATGGCAAGTGCGAATGGAACATGTCGTGATGCCTTTTCATTTTGATCTCGGAATTACACGATTCCTTACACCATTCACAAGTCCAATCTTTTTGCTCCGATCCAGAACTCTCGACTTGCTGTACGTCACTATGCGACTGCAGATACAATTCGTAAGGATTTTCTGCTTGTGTCTTCGAGCATTGAGCTTTTGCTAACGGTTTCTCCGACGACACGCGTATGTCCTTGTATCTGAATGGATAGTTCGACTTTGTTTTAGAAGAATCAATCTGCAATGTCGGTTCATTCGTCATTACGTCCCAATCATTTTGAACAATATCCAAAGATTCCTCTTCTCTCGGGTCCGAGATCTGCTCTTCCTCTATATCATTGCTGTAGTCGTCGGAACTAACCTTCTTATCGTGTTCTGTCTCCGTAGATTCGCCAGACGATCCAGGTGGAGATATGTCTTCGACTTTAAATGGTAAAAACGAATCAGAATGATTGATATCCCAATGTTCCCAGACTTCAGATTTCGTTGGCGCGGTAAAACTACAATAAGAACATTTCAGTAAACTTTTGGTCGCGTGTACCCTCATGTGTATTTTAAGACCGGTCGTATTCATGGCGGTAAAATTGCACATGTTACACTTTTCCTGCGGTTCAATATTGACTTGGCCGTCGCTCTTCTCCGCGATTTCTTCCCCGCTCATTTTTCTTTTTCGTTTCTTGTTCCTTTTCGGAAACACGATCCCGTATTCTTGCTGCCAAAATTCTTCCGGCAATTCTGGCCCGCCGGCTGCGGGATTCTCAATTATCTTCTCAGCACAACCGGGATGCTTGGAACGAATATGTTGACGCATCAAACCCTCAGAGTTTGTGCTACGGTCACAGTAAGGACAGATAAACCCAAGTCGTTTCAAGTGTGTTAACTGTATGTGTAGTTTAAAACCGCGCCACCGGAAGAAAGTCATTTTGCAATGTTTACAAATAAATGGCTTTTCCTGTTTCTCTTCTGGTCCACCTATATCAAAATTTGTAATTAAGATAATATATACTACTATAACTTTCGTATTTGAAAATATTTACCTTTTTCAGGATAATTCACTTTCCCAGTTTTCTTCTTTGATGGTCCACTTTCACTCTTTATATCGGCAACGGGAATCGCGTCATCTTTATTATTCTCATCTTGCACTTTGAAACTATTTTTGGTAGTTTGTTCCTTGTTCTGTTTATTTGTAGTTTTTGAAGTTTTGCTAACAATGCTTTGGCTGACCTTAGCCACAGCTGGTTTCGAATCATTTCCATCTGTGTTTGCTGTAGTGGCAGAACTTTCTACATTACTTGCGTTTTGCTTAGCTAATAATCCTTTTATCATTAGTGTTTGTCTCTTCAATAGTGTGCCAACCTAAACATAATAATCAAAAGAAAAGTTACATTTAAAATTAATTTTTAATCATAGCATGCTTTCATTTGAACATCAATGAACATCAATGTACCCATTCTTCGATATCATCATCCGGAGATAACGGTTCATGATTAGGACGTTCTCCATTGTGATGTTTAGTAAAATGTTTCAATAAGGCATTACGGTTCACAGATAAGTATCCACATTCCTTACAGTGCCATCTGCGATATTTTCATATTAAATTAACCAAAAAGAAGTGTAATGATTTTAAAAAAATAAAATTAAGCTATAAAAAAAATACTTACCTAGCATAATTTAGTTCTCTGTATAGATGATCTCTCATATCGTGCTTGTATTTAGTTTTAAACTGTGTACACAATGTACAGACATACATATTACCATCTGCTTTTCCATAAGGACCAAACCTTCCTATATCGGATTCGTTGAAATCATTATCTTCGATCAGTTTAGGTTTAACTTCCTTTTCTTCCTTCGCATTAGGGGTGCTACTCGCTACTTCTGTTTCTTCAGGCATCTTGTCACAAGACAATGATCGCTTAGATTTTTCTTTCGTTTGCTTGCTGTCGTCCAACGAATTAGATTTTCCCGACTTTATTTTAGCCGGTTTAAGCACTGACAATTCCGTGTCACTTTTCCGTTTTCCCAACTTCAAAGTGGATTCCATCGACACTTCGTTCTCTTCTTCGAGAAGAATTCCACGAATGTGTCTGATTCGAGGCATGTCTCGTCTCCAAAGCGGAGTAGTATCAAACGGTTCATCTTGCCCAGTCTGTTCTATGCCATCTGCTGTCTTTTTGTTCACACCTTTTATTCGTTGATACATTAAAATATAATCAACGCTTGAATCGTTAGGATGCTTGCTGCTAATATGTTGCTCGAATATAATTTTGCCACTGGTTTTAAAGGAGCACGAATTACATTTATATTGACACTTCTCATCGTGTGTCGTGGACGTATGATTGATCATTTCCGCCTTATACACGCATTTATAATCACAAATGTTGCATTTCCAATGATTTCCATCTGGATCTGGTACTTCCTCTTCAACCTCTTCTTGTATGGATTGTTGATTGTTTTCCGTATTTTCTAACTCCCTGATCACCTTTACAAATGGCCTTTTCTCAGGATGTTTGTCGGAAAGGTGTCTCTCCACAACGTGTCTAGACAATGTTTTGTTACTATTAGAAAGCATAGAAAATGAACTGAAGAGAATATAAATTTGGTTAAACATTTGACAAGAACATACAACGTATATTTTATATTTAAGCTTCACTTTGTATGCTTGTCAAATGTTTAAAAACTATACTCTAACTTCCAAATACATCGTGCTTATGATCTGTGACCAAAATGGTGCATTATTATACCAAACGTGAAACATAGACATCATTGTGTACCTATGATAATGATGATGATTGCAGTGAGAACATTTATAAAGTCTGGTATCGTGCATTTTCAAATGAACGGCCATTTTATCAATCGCAATATTTAATCCCTCTTGGCCCGATGGTGGTTGTGGGCAATGAGGACACCGGAAATACTGTTCCTCAGAATGTAAAGCCTTTAAATGACATCGTAACATTGCCTCATTGACCGTTAAATAATTGCATTCAGCTACACCACACACGTATCTATTGTAGGAAAACATTACCATTGTTTTACACATCCCTCGATTCATCATTCTCGAAACTTGCCGAATTAATTGACAACACTTTCATATGTGACGAAAATCACATCCACTCTTGCAAGAACATCCACATTGATATAACATCCGGTTTTAAAATATACCTACCTCTTGTGCTCCGGTACAAATTTCGGGATGAACTCGTCGTCGTTATTCTTATTAATCTCTTTAGATTTCCCTCCCATTCGACCATTTTGATGAGAACTACTCGCCAAGTTGACCATCTTATCAAACATTCGTTCCTTCTTATCCAAACAAGGCACAGGATTGACCGGACCGCTCTCTGGCACTCTCTCATCTTTTGCGTGCAGTTGCAAATGTCTGATAATATTCATACGAACTTTCGTCGTATACGGACACACGGCACATTGCACTTCACGGTTGTAGATCGCTTGACGTGGCAGGGAATCTATTTCATCAGGACCGAAGCTGAATTTCTCAACGTCTACCGTTGCTTTCTCACCGTCCTTTTCGTTTGACTTTGTATTACTTTTACGTTTCTTCCCTTTACGCTCTACATTTTGCCGCTGTAGAAAAATAAACGAAATATTTTATATATATATATATATATCATTTGACAACGATCATTATGTAGTTTTGTAAAATAGTTTGTAAATGTACTTACAATAGGTTGTACGATGAACAATCCATCAACGGATGGATTTTTTGGATCAGCCGGAATTAATTTACTGTACGCGTATTTATGTTTCATCTTCATATGCGCCATTGCTTGGTAACCCACCGTACATCTCATTTTGCACAATGAACAACCAAATCGCTTCAACCCATGTGATTTCAAATGCTCTAATAAAAACCCAGCTCTCAAGAACCGTTTGCTACAATGAGCGCAAGTCAGATTTTTATTATCACCACCAAAGGTACATTCTTTCACGTGCATCTTCAACTGAGCCGCAGTCTGTACACTATAGTTACACGTTTCGTAGCCACACTTGTACAATTGTGCTCCTGAGAAGCCAGTGTCTTTAATGTCGTCCAAAGTTAAGGGTTTATCTATTTTTGTAATAGAACTTTTATTGGTGTCGCAGGACGCGTTTGGATCTTTTATATCGGTAGAAGATTGTTCTTTTATATCTTTCTCTGGATCTACGTTTGCTTTCTCACTTACATCAATACTATTTTTTCTTTCCTTTCCATTCGACTCGGATTTTATATTTTTTGTTGGAATAATTTCCGTATCATCAATGTCTACAATTTCAATGTCGCTATCATCCATTTTACTCGTAGATGAAGCAGGCACGTGAGTCACATTAATGGTGTGATTGATTTTTTTCACGAAATCAGGATTGTCCAGCAAATTAATATTTATAAATTCATCGTTGCTATCAAAAGTCCCTTCAGAAGATACTATTAATTCCGCTTTATCAGATAGAACGCTGGTCTTTTTACATTTATCTATTAAACTTTTATCTACGGATTCTTTGTTCAAAATTGAAGTTACCGAAATCTCAGAGTCATTTATCAAACTTCCGAACATCTTGTTCACTATACTATCATTAGAGCTTTCATTTAACGATTTTTCGTATTGTGAAGTATTAGCATTCATAGAACTATTTGAATTATTATCACTTTCAAATAAACTAGCTATATTTAACACGTCATTTTCGTCCTTGTTCAACAAAGATACGTCTTTAGACAATTGAGGATAAAATATCTTGTGAGACGAAGACACGTCAACAATATCAATTTCTTTGCTATTTCTTTCTTCGTTCTCCAGATCAATTACATCTTCTATGATTTTAAAATTGTCATCAAACCATTTTATAACCAATTGATCTATCACATCTTTGTTTCGTACTGGCTGCAATGTAATATATAAAATGACGATCATAATTTGACTCATGACTATGATTGGCCAATTTTGACTATTGATGATATAATTTGATTCATTAACAGAATTACATTACCTGAGGAGTAAGAGTTCGTTCGAGAACCTGAGGTGATCGATTACAATGAAACAGGCTCAGATGTTTATGCATTTCATTAAAGTGATCCGCTCCATTTAAACAATATAAGCATTGGAATTTGTAAAACCCATGCGTTTTATAGTGCTACAGAAAGATTTATAAATATTCGTAAGAATAATTATAAAAAGTGTAATAATTATTAATCAAATAATTTAAAAATATTACCGTTATTAGTTGATCGATTTTCATGCAAGTAGCACGACATACGTGACACTTATAGCCAGAAATAGGCAGTCCGTGTTTATTCCTTAAGTGTGATATAAAAGATTCAGGAACGTAGAAGAACTTCCCACAATCTGTAATTACAAGTTTAATTATTCATTCAGTAACGATGGCAAATAATGTAAATGTAAATCGTACCATGGTAGCACACATAAGGATGTATTGTGTCGTGTCGATTGATTTCTTCTTTCGGAAATTCTTTCTCTTTGCCAAGTAGAAGACCACGATTCTTAGGATGTGTTATTATCTATAAATAAAAATACAAATTAATTGGCAAAAATTTATAATACCACAAGATAATCTCACTTGCATCATACCTGATGCGTATGCACATAAGAAGGTACAATAGCTCTGTAAAAACAGTACATGCACTGAAAACGACAATGTGCATGCTTCTCGTCGATATGTGTTTTCATTTGATTCCAATCCTCCAGTATCATGTAACAATAGGCACATTTTTGATAATCATACGGCGGTGGCATCATTGAGTGTTGAGCTTCGCTGGCGTGTTGAAGATAATGCTGTTGATATATCGCCAATATATCAGTAGTGAAGCGACAATCACGTGCCATACATTTGTACAAATGAATCAATTTAGCGCCTTTTAACATCGCTTTATACGCGTCAGCCGATTTCAATTTAATCGCCGAGACTAAAGGTTCTTTCTGTTTTATTACAGTGGGCGCTCGAACCACTTTCACGATTTTGTAATTCAAACTCTGCGATGGTTGCGGCGATCCGCTAACACTGACAGTTCGAGTAGTCGCCGGAGGTGAAATAGGAAAAGACAACTTATTGTCCACTTGAATAATTGTTGATTTTGACGCAATCGGAATAAAATTGGTGGTAAGCTGAGTAGTAGTTACAACTGGAGAAGGGGATATACTTTTCACTGGAATTAACTTCATCTTATCTGGCGTCGATTGCACTGTTTGCATATTCTTTGTTAATGGCTGTGTAATAGTCACAGTATTGAGTCTCTTTAAAATTATAGGCGAATTTTTAGATTTTTTCAACAGAGATATGCCTTTGTTTCTTATTGGAGAAGTCTCAACTGCTTTTCTTATATCATTTATCTGTAACAGTAATAAGAACGAAGTTATACACCGTGCAATTTGAAACAGATGAAAAAATTTCAAGCAAACACGATACATAGTAACTTACAATAGGACTTTCAGCACCATCGACTTTTGGTGCTAGACTAACTACATTTTCGATTTTCAAAAATGAACACTCCTCCTCAATATCTGGCTTTAACACGGAATCTGTTTTATCTGCAGTACTAGACTGGTCCGCATCTAACGAATAAAATTTATATAATGACAGACAATGATTCATATTATTGTTTATATATTTATACATACTGCTCTTTATTAAAGATGCACTTTCTTGAACGTCTAAGGACTGCGTTGGTATCGATAACTTATCTCCGCTAAGACGTCTCAATCGGATGAAGTTCTTAGATAGATCACCATCATCAGCCGAGTCCTGTGATATTTCATGGTATCTAGTTTCCTTTTTTCCAACAAATTTTTTAATATTAGATATGGGAACGACGTCTGGTGGCTTGGGGATAGAAGCAAAAGGAAATGCCCTTTTAGATTCCTCAGGTTTAGAAGAAGTTTCATCTTGCTTTGTTGCTTGAAGTTGAGCAGCTAATCTTTGTATAGTGGTAAGCATTGGATCCTTGCAAGATGCATTCATATTTGAAGTTTCTTTCAAGATCATGTTAACATCGGTAGGTAATTCACTGTCCGATTGTTCGCTACTGAAATCAGACTCATAAATTGGTGCACTATCCTTCATATTTTCGTTATCGCTAGTTTCTATGTCGCTTTCTTCATTCTTTTTCGTATCTGACATTACTAATGGTTTATTAGCCATTGAATCTGTCAGATCTGTTTCAGATATAGGCTGAGAATCACACTTTGTATCAGATGACTGTGTTATACGTGAGGTACTATCCTCTTGAGGTTGTTTATCATTTAAAGTTTCCTTCTTTTCTGAATCTACCACTGAAGGAACTTCAGAGTTGTCAGACACTTCAGTGGTATTACTTTGAGACGGCGTTGGTGATGACGGTGAAGTCGGTGAAGTCTGTGAAGTTGTGCTATTAATCGGAGTTTTATCCGGAGAATTTATTATTATATTAGAATCAGATTCGTTACTTGATGTCGTTAAATTAGTCTTCATTTTATCCTTCAATTTGTCTATTATAGATAAACCTTTTTTAGACGCATCCCTTTGCAATTTAATCCCAATGTTTTGGATAATTTCCTGCATTTTCTTCTTCCGTTCCAATTGAATCTCTACTTCTTTCTTTTCCAATTCCGGTGGACAAACAAACACACTCAAATTTCCAGATGGTAAACTGGAATCTGTATCCGTTTGTAGTGGTTTCTTCTTTTCCTCAACAGTAGTAACCTCTGATTCAGGATCATTCTTTTCTTGCTGTTTAACTTCAGGTTTATCTTTTATCTTCTCATCAGCCTTCTGAATCACTTTTATCTCAGTGATATCATCATCAGTCTGTTCAACGGGATTTACTACTTCGTTTAGCGATTCCTCCTTTACATTTGATTCAATTATTTCTATCTTTACCTTTTCTTCTGGAACATCAACATTTTGTTTATCAGGTTCTTCATCGACTACATCCAAGGACATATTTATCTTAATGATCTTAACAGTCGAATCGTCTTTATGCCACAAATTAATATGTTCTTCCACATTACACTTTTTTAATTGAACAAAATTACAACATGAGCATAAATAACCATAAATACGATTTTCGTCGGGTATTTCGTCTTCAGTTATGGCTTCAGCAAAAGTGTCTTTAAACTTTCGACACACTTTGTAATAATGAGTCCTCATGGAGGATTTGGCTACAGCTTGATAAGGACAACTATTGCACTGAAATCTGTATTCTCCTGTGTGAGTAGTACAATGTTCATAAAATGCTTCCATTGCAACCTTTGTAGCTCCTTCGCTGAATAAAGAGCAAAATCTGCAACGAAATTTACAAGTTTTCTCTGTCAGAGGATTCAATGATGAATTTTCTACATCATTGTCATTTGCGTTTTGAATAGCTAATAAAGCATCCGACTGTTTCAATCTAGAAATTAAAATTTCCTTTCCTGCATGACTTAACTTATAATGATGGACGATACTTTTGCCGGTAAAGGAGCAAAGCAAGCATTTATATTTTTCTTGCCCTGTACAAACATAATCGATCAATTTTTTTATGTCTATTTCAGAAAAAGATTTGTCTATGTCAGTTTTATTCTTAATAATGCTCCGTTCAGCATTATTATTAATCTGTTCTTTATCTTTGACTACCAATGATTGTGCTTTTGTTTCATTGGCAAAAGCTTTACTTGAAGAAGATTCTATAGAATCAGATATAATCGGTATACTTTCTTTATCATTTTTTGAATTATCTTGAAGTACCTCACTAGAATTGACATCTTTAACATCCTCAAGCTTTTCCAAAATATTCTGATCTGTAATAGTAACTGAATTGCTATCTTTGTTTATTGTACTTTCTAAAATGGAATCTATTTTGTCTGAAATATCCAGTTCAGAACTAGTATTAACATAACAATCGCCCTTGGGAGAAGAAGCTATAAGAGTCTTTTTCTTTCTCTTCTTAGACAGAATACCCATCTGCCAGTTACATTTTTTTTTCTTCTTCTTCATTGAAGATTTTTTCGTACTCGATTCAATCGGTAATTGATCGTTTACATCATCATCAACATCCGCATCACTTCCTTTGTCTGCTATTGATGAGTCTTTATCTGCATCATTCTTTACCGACACTAATCCCACTAAAATGTTACTCAATAACTTCTTATTAGAGTTAGTATCCATTCTGGTTGAACTAGCACCCGTTTTCTTGCCAGAAGCTGTACTACTCGACATAGAAACATCAGAAGTAATACTTTCTTCATCAGTAAATTGAACATTATCTTTATTTTCATTCAACAACTCACTTCCTTTTTTTCTTGTAGACTTTCTGGGAAAAGATGGAGTATCCTTTTTCTTTTCTGGTTGTTCCAATACCTCAGATTCAGATTGTTTATCCGGATGAAGTGAAATGTCTACAGCTGCAGCCAGTTCAGATACATCTATCCCAAAACTCTCATCAGAGGAGCTATCAAACATTACTTTAGAGCACTCCAACTTGGAAATGTCTGTCTTCTCGACTATTACTCGTGGTTCTTTTATTGTTTCCTTGTTAATTATACGTTTGCTTCGCCTTAGACTCTCAGAATCATCATTAGATACTTCCTGATTGCACAGTGAATTAGAATTTTGAACTAACTCTGTCCTGAGTGCCAGTGGCTGGTCCTCTTCGCTATCTGAACTCTGATTATATTGTTTCGAACGTTGTCTAGTGATTCTTTGCATCTCTCTCTTTGTTTTCTCCTTCTTACTTGCTTCCTCAGCAACACGTGTAGATCTCTTTTGTTTGAAGAAGATGGATGAAACCATTGTTTCTTCTAAATCAAGATCTATCGCTAAATCATTTAATTCTTTTTTCAATTCTTTTTTTAATTCTTTTTTCTTTGTGTTTGCGATAGTTTGATTAGAAGAATTTGTACCTGCATTATTTTGATTTTCTTTTTCTTTCTGTGTTCTGCACAACCTATGGCCAGTTGCTGCTACAACACCATCACTAATGAACATTTCTCTAATATCTTCTTGCAACATTTCCAGAGAATTCCTTCTCTTCGCTTTGACCTTTGGTGTCTTCAAAACAATTTCCTTTTCTTCAGTTGACTCTTCTTTATTGACATTGTTAGATGTTTCTGGAACGTTCTTTTCTTTCTCTGTGTTTACTTCATCTTCATTCGATTCCTTCTTTTCTTCGATAGTATTTTGAGTTTCAATAGTATTCTGGGTAATCTCTTTTTGAATGGTGGAATCTTCAGCATCTTTTCCCTCAAGATCAGAAGATTTAATGTTGGGAATCTCTTTTTCAAGAATTTTATTTGTATCTTCTTCCTGGTCATTCATTGGTGTGTCTTGAATCAATTCTTTGTTCATTGTCTTTAGGATGTCAAATCTTTCAGCAAGAGACTCTTCATCCGAACTATCTGAAACAATTACTCGTCGTTTCTTCCTCATCTGAACTTTCTTTGTCTCAGGAGTATCATCTTTATCCGAACTGCTACTCTCTGACTCTGACTCAATGATCCTCTTGATCTTCTTCAGCTTTTTCGCCTGAAATACTTCACCCAGCTTTTGCATAAATTTTGCCTGTTCAACGAACTTTTTTCCCTCGCCAAATTCGAAGGATTTTCTAATTAAATTTTCTATCCATTCCTGGGTTACCTCGTCCTTCGATTTGGATCCTTCCGATTCTACTTCTTCTTTCTTCTCAACATTGGTAGATAATTTAGAAGAGGTAGCGCCAACAGACTCTAATTCAACAATATCCACAGTTTTGTCTTTCCCAGGAGTTTCGCTAGAAATGTTCTCTTCTTTCTGTTCTTCTTTCTTGTCATCGGTTACATTGTCCTCGTTCCAGTTCTCAAGAGGTATGTTTCCATCGCAGCTGCTACTAACTTCCACAGTTGAATCTTCCTTATCTCTCTTAATAATTTTGTCATCCTGTTTTTCAATAGAACACTCTTTGGTTTCCTCCGACATATGACTCGACGTTGGCGACTCTAACGATTCGTTACGTTTTATTTTAGGTATCTTAAAGTTTTGCAAACAATACCCTTGCGCGGACTTCGCTTTCGTATCAATAACTCCATATAAACTCTCTAAAGGCGACTGTTTTTTGTCTTTAATTATCTTCTCTTGTGCTTGTTTGGTGTTATTCTCTGCGTCCACGCGTTTATGGCTGTCAACTGACTTCGGAGGAGATTTACGCTTTTCTTTGACTTTCCTAAACGTCGGGGTTGGCAGTAGTGGCTGACGTTTCCTGGGATCTCTCTCGCTGAAACTACTGTCTTTACCTTTACCAAGGGGGAAATGCTTGTCCTTAGCTAACCGAGGATCCCTAACCGAAGCACTATTATCTCTGGATTGATTGTTATTTAAATTGTGTTCCGTGCGTACCCTAGGGTCACGATCAAATATATTTCTACCATCTCTGCCAAACCTATTACACTCAGACCATTCGGGTCTACGAGTATCACGATTAAAATTATTCCTAGATTCTGATCTATTTCTTTCGTTGTAGTACGCGTTGCGTCCTCTACCGCTACGGTCTCTGTCTCTGTTCCAGGGACAAGGTGTGCTGGGTCTGGGATATGGCCCTGAAGAACTTTCTGCGGGGCCCATCACACCACAAGGAACTTCGTTCTCTGGTCTATACGGTCCGTCGTTCGGTCGGTTAACAGGAGAATCCCACGACTGTCTCTGATGAGGATACTCCATTCCTCTATCAAAAGGTTGCTCGTAAGGTCTATTCTCACCCTGAAAATTTCTGTACTGCGGGCCAACAGGAAACCTTGTGGGCGATATTAAAGGCTGTATGGTTGGTACATTGGGTACATCAACATTGGGTATATCATCTGGTCGTGGAATATGGCTTATATCCTGAGGTCTCGTATTGGGGCTCATCAGAGGTCTGATACCAGTGTTTATATTTGGAAGGAATTGATTAGGCCTCATCTGGCCGTCATTCATTTGATGGGGATCCATATGGATAGACTCTCTGTTAGTACCTACATTCCACATCTCTTGATGTGGCATACCCATTGGATGTGGATAGGTTTGGGCAGGAGAATTAGGCATACCACTAAAATTGGAAGACGGTGGCCACTGATTGTTGCAAAAATCATTCGCGTTTACGGGCGCGTGCATGGAGGGCCAATGGCCTTGATTCGGTACTTGCCTATTGAAGTACTCGGGTCCCTCCATTCGAAACTCCGTATCTATCCTAGGCGCCATCTCAATATTCCCCTGACGCCTTTGATACAACATAGCGTTTCTATCATCCGATTTAATCGAACTGCCATGATGTATAGGCATCTGATTGGGCATATCGTCGTCAGGCCGACAGTGCACGTTGTGCACGTTAGATTTATCTTTATCATGGGCCTGGTTGTCACGCAACTGACGAGGATGGCGTTCATAGTTGTCCGCGAAACGCGGCTCCGCCTTAGAGCTAGGCGAAGATGGTATATTTCTACCGTCAATAGTACTCGTGCTCGTCGTAAACGAACTAGAACCATGACCTAAATTACCCTGAGGTGGTCCCTTTGTTTCACCAGGCTTCAGAGCATCGGTTTTCGTCACCAGTGTAGCATTTAAATTACTGGGTAAACATTTCCTACTGGTTAACTTAACTATGTGCTTGTCTATCTCCTCCCAACGCCTCTCGCTCTCGCTGTCAATATCCTCTTGCGTCAATACAAACGATTTAGACGTCTTTGCATCCTTAACATTCCCACCTGATTCCTGTTTGTCCTTCTTGAATTTACCTAGATCCTCCCTTAGCCTATCACTCTTCTCCACTTTGTTGCTGTCTTCATCGTTCAACAATTCAGCCAAATCTTCCATGGACAATGGCGGTTCCGTGGAAACGGGAGGTGGTGAAAGCAGTAGCGGCGCCGGAGGCTTCGAACCGGACTTCTTACAAAGTTTCGGGTAGAGAATCTCCGAATCTGGGGACTTCAACCGAGCATCAGGCACATTAACAGGCGATTCAGGTCTAGACTCCGACGAAATCTGGTCCATGTTCACTCCCATCATCCGATTTTTTTCTAAAATCGACGACAATCTTCTGGAACCGCACAAGGAGGGGACTGGCACGGTCTGTATTTGCCGAGGGAGGTGCATCGACATAGGTACGTGAGGTCTGCCGTCGTTCACCTTCGGAGATAAATTACTTCCAGCCATTTTGGCCGCTGTAACAACGTCATGGTTAGAAGTAATGATCGTTTGCCAATTTTTGTTCCTCGAGATCTGATTCTCGTTCTCCTCGAGCATATCCCATTCGGTGAACGACACATCGTCCGCGCTTTTGCATAAACGCTGCGGTGACAGAATTAAATCGTTGCTTGTCCTCTCTGTAGGTATAATGATGGGGGCTTTGGTCGGTAGTGTGTCTATGGGATCAGGAGAGGCTGGTTTACTGTCAGATTTGTCATCGAAGTCTATACTGCGTTCGGTAGGAATTATTATCGGCTCTACTTGCGAACCCGAGTCTGGACTAACTGGAGGACTAGGACTGGCCGGCGTCTCATGAATCTCTCGGGCCTCCATGACGTCTTCTGCGTGAGACTTTACATCTTCAAGCATACTGAAAGGGATTCAATCGACGTTTTACAATACCTTGTTTTAACAATGTTTGATCTTATGACAATATCGTCTATATTATAACAATAATGATACAATGAAATTCTTCTGTTTGAACAGTAATGTTCGAGCATTAATGACAAACAATTGAACTTAACTAAGCTCAATCTGTGAACAATGCTGTTTTACAAAATTGAACATAGATATTTTGGATTAACTTTGAGAATACATTGAATACACTGTGTACAATAAATAATGATTAACTTATTGTTACAGCTACAATATAATAAGTAACTGAATTGAATTTTCATACAAGTTTTTTACAATTTGTATACAAGTTCGTGTACAAGTAATGTAACACTTACTTTGAACATTGCGCAGAGGTAACATCGCTTTTCTTGTGCGGAAAATGCAATCCGGGTGTATTTCCCTGAAACTCGTGTCAGATTAGAAAGATTAAAATTTAAAAAACAGTACATGCACTACGGAAGCCTGAAAACATCCAAAAGTATAAAGAACAGAAAATAAAGAATGCTCCGAAGCAACTACGTACGTTTGAAGGAGAAAAAAACCAAAGTGGAAATAATAACTATAAATTAATCATTTCTCTACAAGCATTTATGACATATAACACTCTTTTTATCAAATTCCAGTTATAAGTAATTTTCGCGAAATATCAAAGCAAAATTCCATATATATAGCGCCTTAATTTTAAAAACTTTTTAAATAACAAAATCATACGAATGCAATTGGAGAAGAGCAATGTATACAATGCAATGCAAAATTATTTCGTAAGAAAAGGAAAAAAAAAGTGAACATCCAGTTTCTACTGATAATATATAATAGATAAAGTGAATAACACAACAATTACAATTTTGCACTATCAAAGCACGGTGATAATAATACCTGCGGCGTTTCGTGAAACGATATAAAAGAGTTGTTTCTCAAAGAAATGATACTTTCTTTTCATTATTTTTTTGAAAATATCAATGCATTATTACAAATTTAAATACAACAAAAAATTTTTTCATGCACGCTCTGACTAATGGAAGAACTTATAAAGAACATGGAAGAACATTCTTTTATATCATTCATCGGTGACTATAGTGCAAACTAATATCATACAGAGCATAAAGCCGAGTGTTCGGTTTTGGTCTACTGAATTTGTATATCAAGTAATAGATTTGATTTAGCTAAAATTCCTCGACACGAGAAACATTTAACAAATGCCTCGAACAAATAAATTCAGTATACCAAACAGGTGATAAGATTATCATGTAACGATTAGTATATCTACCTTTTCTACTTTGTTGTGTAACTTTTGAAGAACGTCTTCACATCGCTGCAACGTCTCGATCTTCAACCTATTTCATCGACAACAGCATATGTAATTAATCGCATTTCTCATTTTACATCTTTCTAATTTCAATGCTCTGAAACTCTACATCCGTGGCAATGTGACAACGCGTTTCACGGTTTTGCAAAAATAGAATTATCGCGTAAAAATGAAAAACGCGTATAATGAAAGAAGCGAAGGCAAGGAAAAATTTTACTCCATGCGAAAATGAATAGGAATTCAAGCTGAAGTCTGAATGTTCGAAGATTTGAACGCTAAAATTTTGAAATTAAAGTTTTAAAAATTCAAAGAGACTCGAAGTCGAGAGACTGCGAATTGAAAATACTCCGACTAGCGTTTCTCCGTTCGCGTTCAAAAATGTTCAAGTTTCATCGAGAATGTCGCCGAAACGCTGCCACGGCTAAAAAAAAAACGAGCAAGTGAGCTATATTGCGTGTTTGTTCAAACACCTGCGAAACGTACTTTCTTTTGCTGTTCGACAAGATTCCGTGTAGGCTTTGCATTTTCTGCAGCTGCACTTCCCGCGATTTGTCCTTAACGTTTTGCAACCGCTCTATCATCGCTTCCAAAAATGGAATGTATTTTTGCATCTCGGCGAATTTCTTATCATACTCGTCCATCTCGCTCGTTGTCTATCGCTCACCTGTGCCGGGAGAAGAAAATCTTTATACTCAAAAGCATTTCTCGGTCATTATTTTGTTCTCTTTCAGCGCGCTTTTTTTCTACTATATGCTCGTTTGATTGAAAATTACTTATGCCTTACAGTAATAACGCATTCGTTAACGTGTTATAATTCATTGATACTATGTTGAAAGATAATGGAAATCCTTTTTTGTGATTTGTGGTTTTATACCGTAATCACGTATTGTTAAACTTTCTTTGTTAATGTTGGCAACTTTTTTTTTTTTTTAGCCACATTATATTATTTTTTTTTTTACAAAATTTTTCATTTCAATGAGAAATAAAAAGCATCATGAATGAAAACGCAACTATCAAATTTTGCCGCCATATGACTGTAATGTTACTTAACTCAAGTTAAGTAACTCAAATTTCATTACCTTTAATAACGTAATAAGTAGTAATAATAATACGTTTAAACTTACTATATAATATTACTAACAAATTATCGAAACGAAATTCCAAATATGAAACAAGAAAAAATATATGTAACTTTACTCGACAAATGAAAGTAAAGTTCATCATTCTCCGATTGCGTAACTTCGTCTGCCTTAATTTTCTATACTCTTTTAATATTGTAATACAACCGTGTAACGTTATCACTTTCTAGTTGTTGGCTAATATTTTCTGTTTTACGTAAAAAAAAAAAAAAAAAAAAAAAAAAAGAAAAGAAAAGAGAATGAAAGAAACACGGTAGAATAACAGTGGTAATAGTAATAAGAAGGAGAAAGTAAAGAAAGGATACACGTGTGTCGCGTACGTACAATGTGTGCCTACGCGTATGAAACGAACGCCTCGTCCTTTCTTTCGACTACTTGCTTTCTTCTTCCCTCTTGATTCCTCTCGTCCACCTCCAGGACTTCTTTTCTATTATCTTTCTCGCTTGCGCGCTTTTTTCATCGACGCGATCTTCTCAAGCAAACGCGTAACACCCAGAGAAACCGTCTCTCTTTCCAACGATTTCCATCAGCACGCGAGTACAAACGAAAAGAACATAAGAATAAAAGGTAAAAACCACTTTCGCTACTCGCTAGTCTCTACTTTACAAGATTTAAATATCACGTCAGAAAAGCGGAGTGGTGAAAAAAATATATATATATATATAAAAAAAAGTTATCGATGAAGATCGTTGTCTCCTCGCTGAATCTTCTCTATCTCTCTTCGTTCCTCGTTTTTCTCTCTTTTCTTCGCTCTTCTCTATCTCTCTCGCTTTCTTTCTTCCTCAATTATCAAAGTGCTTATTTATTTTATGAGATCAGTCCGGACACGAACTTGCGCCACGGACACGGTTCTTCCATTTTCGTTCGTCCCCCCCGAGGCGCTCCTCGGAAGCGAGTTCTCTCGCTCTCTCGCACGCGACCCGCTGTTAGTCCCTCTGCAATTTGCAGACGTTATTCCTTAAAAATTAACCATCGAACGCGATGGAGAAAAAGAGAAAGGTAGACAGAGAAAAAAATGTGAACGAGAATTCAGAGAGAGAAAGAGAAGCAGAGATAGAAAGAGAGAAGCAACTGGAAGAGAAGATGGGGAGACACAGTTTGAAAGTGAACCTGTTTTCTTGTTTTATTTCTTTCCTTTTTTTTTTGTCTCTCTCTCTCTCTTCCGCTTTCGACAATTCTGTGAGGTGAAGGAACGATTCCGCGCGACAATGAGAGACTGGCGTATAAAAATGGATGACGATCGAATTCACGGTTTCGAAGTTGCCTCGAAAAGCCTCGAAATAGCAAAAAGTTTTCTTTGGTCGGAGAGATCTGCTCCATTTTTCTTTTCGTTTTATACTTTTGTAATTTCTTTTCTCTTGTTTTCTTAACCGTTTACACGCCGTGCGTCGACGCGCGCTGGATTGAAAACATTAAATACACATACATACATTACGCGATAAATAATTTCATTTTTTTTTTTCCATATTAACTACGTTATTAAATATCATACAAGAGAAACGGACGTTCTTAAATACATAAACGAATAATTTTGTGAGGGAATATATATGTATATATGTATAATGTCGAAGGCCTCTCGTCGTTGGACCGAGAAGAAGAGAAGAAGAGAAAGAATCGAGAACGATCGCGTCGAAAGTGGCGGCCCTGTAAACGGTTAACTTTCGTCGCCGGTTTTCACGCACCTAAAAGATAAGACAATTTTTAAAGTGCACAGAATATAGGTAACGCAAAAAAAAAAAAAAATATATATATATATATATATATAAAATATACGAAACAATATCTAAAGTTTTGTATGATGATATTTGGTACGTAAAGCAACTTTCTATCGGGCCTAATAATTTTTCAACTGCATTACCAAACGTACGAATCTGCTGTCTAGTGCAAGAAGAAAAGGATCTTATTAATAGGAAAGAAAAGTACGAAAAAAATCGAGACGCGCGTTAGGACAAAGAGGAAGATAGGAAAGAAGAAAAAAATAGACAGAGAGAGAGAGAGAGAGAGAGAGAGAGAGAGAGAGAAAGTTATAGGGGAAATGAATTGTTAAAGAAATTGTGAAATACTGTGGTCGAGTAACTCGTCGCTTCTCTCGTGTCGTCGTTCGCACACGTGCCTCCTTTTCCAGCCTCAACCATTATCAAGCCGCGAATTTTTATGCAAAGTCGCAGAGAACGCGTACGAAAAAAAAAAGAAAAAAAAAACGAAACGAATGGAATTATTTAAACTGCAGTGCTTTCTATAATATTCGCCAGTTGAGACTCTTCGAAATTTTTTTAATCACGTTCTCGAACGTCTTCTGCATAAAGATTCGCTGATAACTAATTGTTCGAGAAACTCCTGCCGAGGATTGCAATTGTTCAATGAGTTACAAGACTGTTAACGTAAACGTTGAATCCGGAGGACGTGTTAAGCGAAGAACGCGAACGAAAAGAACGCTCGACGACGACATAACTAAATATACCCCGTCTACGGCTAGGATCGCGCGAGAGCGATCGACACTCGCAATACTCGACCTGAATAAACTCTCCAAGTGATATGTGGGGACGTCGTTCAGCCAGGTTGAACGCGTCGCTGTTGGTCAAAAAGTCTAAAGTGTCAGTGTGTGTCTGTCTGTCTGTCTGTCTGTCTGTCTGTGTATGTATGTATGCATGTACGTGTGTACTTGTTCTTCTCAAACACTGCTCCTCCTCAATCGTGTATAATAATTAACTTTTTTAATTCGTCAGATCGTGCACCGTCTATCCGAATATTCTCGCCTGTACTCCTTCCTTTCCAATTCTCTCTCGATCGCGAAATCAATCCGAGGAACGAGCCCCAACGGGATTTTAAAAAAAGCTGTTCGATCGACACGACGCAGACTCGATATTTCCGGTGCTTGATTGGCGATCGCGAGCGTAACAGGCGACGCTTCCCCGTGAGAACACGCAACTGCTCCGGATCATATATACACGAATAATTCCAGAGCGCGCATATACACAATTACATAATAAAGAGACACCGCTTAATTACAAACGCTTACATACCGTCTACATCTCGGATGTTTCTTTCCTCTTTCTTTTTTCATCGTTTTCTCGCTTTCTCTCACTTCTCGCGTGTAAGGTCGATAATAATACATCCCGCCTTGCGCTGTTCTCCCCTCATTGTCGTAAAACGTACAGACATTTCTTCTTCTTCTTCGTACGTACGCGTCAGCGTACATACAAATATATAATATATATATATATATAATATTCATATATATAATATATATTTTTGTTTTCTTCTTTCATCATCAATAATGCGTATATGTGTTATATATCTATTATATATAATTATATGTGATCACAGACACGCGTAATTCGCGTGTATAGAGTTTGCTTATTTTTTTTTCTTTATCTTCTCATTTTTGTGTCACACGTCCTCTCTCTCTCTCTCTCTCTCGCTCGCTCGCTCGCTCGCTCTCTCCCGTGTACTTTAACGACTTAATATCAAATTTGATTTGTTTAAACAGCCTCTCTGTCCATCTTGCACACTAACGCCGCACGTGCGTTCTACTGTTGCCAACCTGTTCGATGGTCAGAAGGGGCGAACGTTTGTTACCGCGCGTTTCAAGTAATCTCTCCGTCTCCGGTTCTCGTCGCCGAGGCACGAATCACACGTTTTGCGCGAAAGGCAATTGAAAATTCGTTGATAAAAACGCACGCGCGTACGCGTGTCTTCGTCATCTCTTTTCGTCTCGCGATCGTTCGCCCCTTCGCTTGGTCCTTGCCCCATTTACAATCGAAAGTTTCAAGATCCGAGTCGATCCCTTTCTTTTCCTCTCACTCCGCTTCGTTCGATTTTTCCTCGAGATAGTAAATACGTCGCGTAGTTTTTTTCTTTTTTCCCGGGTTGGTGACAGTAGCGCCATGATCCATCGTAAATAAACACAGCCGATAGGCATTGCTTGTCTCTGCGCGCGCGCGCACGGCGCTCTTCGAGAGAGAGAGAGGCGCAACGCGTCAGAAGGGACGACGCGTGCGCACGCGCGCAGATCGTCCTACGAATCTAAAAACTTCATTTATCACCTGTACTCTCGACACACACGGATACGACGAAAACGAAGGTACACTTTTTTTTTCTGTCATTTCTATATTAATAGCTTTCTCGTTATACGATAGTCAGTGAAATAAACGAAGTTAAAACGTATATAATATATGTACAGCGCGAGTCGCGGTCGTAGCGCGAAAGACAAATTGTTTCACTCACTTTTCTTTGCGTGTGTTTTCCCTTAATTTCTTCGCTCTGTCGCGTTCCACCGTCCGTTCGAGAACGACTGGCGTTCGACGGATCGGCACGAAGGCGACGACGAGAATACGAAAACAGCGCTCTACAACTTCTTAATTTGTCCCTACGGTTAAATCGTAGGTGCTACATCGGCAAGTCGTCTTGACGTACAAACTACCGCGGACAATTGATTGATTTGCAAAAAAAAAAAACGGACGCGCGATGCTCCTCTCCTTCCCCTTTCTTCAACAACTCTTTGTCTTCTGGGTTTCTTTCCCACAAGTCTGTTAGTAATAAAACATATAAAAGAAAAAAGGAAAGGGAACGTAAAATCGGATTTAAAAAAAAAAAAAAAAAAAAGAGAGAGAGAAAAAAGGAAAGAATCGCATACACTGTGGCAATCGCTGTCGTATACTTGGGTTGATCGCGTAAAACTAAAAGCGGGAGTCAATACACGTTCAAAAGATGGCCTAAAAGTTATCCAACTCTAGCGGGGAATATTAAACAGGAGGACTGGGTAAAGGGGCAAAAGCTTCAACAGATCTGAAACGCTATAACGAAACGCGCAAATAACAGTCTGCTACAAGATATTTTCGCGAACATAGAAAAATACGAGTGTCTATTTACAAAACAAACGATAAATTTCTCTCGCGCTCTCTCTCTCTCTCTCTCTCTCTTTTCTCCTTCTACTTTTTCACACATACACTCTCTCATTCATTTACTCACTCACTCACTCACTCTCTCACTCTCTCACTCACTCACTCTCTCTCTCTCTCTCTCTCTCTCTCTTGCGCGCGCGTATATGCTGTTTTCTCTTCACCTCCCATCAACAGGGGTGTCCAAAATCCAAAAGGTAAACCAAACAGAAAAAAGAAACGCATACGCGTCTCCGGTTCACGCGGCGGAGACGGCTGCGCGCCAAATACAAAAGGTCCGCTTCGAATGGCCCGCCTCCGATTCAGAGACGAAACCATCGACAGCGTTTTAAACTCGTCCACTCGACAATCGGTTTATTTCATTTTGTTTTTTTGTTGTTTTTCTTTTTTTTTTTTTTTCTTTTAAATCGCCATGACCGATCAACGTTCGTCGGTATCAGTATCGACGCGATCGCATCGAAATTTCCTCTTTCTCTTCTTGCACGCAGCTCGCGGAGCGATTTCTCTCTATCCGGTTGATTCTATTACTACCGACTGACTTTCATCAAAGAAATCTCGGTCGTTTAAAGTTACGAACGACGAGCAAACGACACGAACTGGACGAACGTCGTCGCCCTCACAATGGGCACTCGAATTTCGGGGTTCCGCTTCTTCTTCTTCTTCTTTTTTTTTTTTTTTTTTTCCTTCTTTATTCACACGCATGTTTCTTATTACGTTTTTTTTTCTTTTTTTTTCTTTTTTTCCTTTTTGTTGAACTCTCCATCTACGTGTGGTACGGTTTATCGTAACGTGAACTGCTTTCTTTGTGTCTCCTCTGCTATGTGTATATACGTACGAATGAATAATACAGCCTGTATATCTGTGTATGTGTAGATGAATGTGTGTGTGTGTGTGTGTGTTTGTGTGTGTGTTTGTATGTGTGTGAAGATGCATCGTAACATGCCGCGTAAGAATCGGTGTCGCGTTCGCTCGTTCCTTACTGTGCCGTACTATGCAGAGTCCGCAAAATGCGACTCGCGAATATTCGTGGCGCGAGTTACGCGATAAAATAAACCGACGACAAACTGACAGACAGCAAGTAGACGAAGGAGCGGCAACGACGCCTCGCTTAGGTCATATATCGCATCACTGCGCGGAGCGCGTACAACAGCTCCGCTTGCATTCTCGCTTCCAGGATCATCAGGTTCACGTGCACCTGGAAAGAAATAACAAACAGCGTGTTAACAAAGCACAGTTAGCCTTGCACTTTACAAGGCCAAGTGGATCTTATAGGAAATCTAATTCAATGATAGATCGTGTGTGTGTGTGCATGTCGGTATTTCGTGTTAACCTCTTGCGCTGGAATCACGTGCCACGCACGTCAAGAACTTTTTGTCCCAAAATTGCAACGTTTTCAATAATTTCTATCGTTTTTACTTTTCAATAATTTCTATCCAGTGATATCATACACCGACGAGTTCAAAAAAACAAAAAAAAAAAAAGGGAAAAAGGCGACGAATTATTGTATACGATTTGGTCACTCGTTATGGTCCGCAGTCAGTTGTCCAGCCGCAAGTGGTGGAAAGAGAAATTCGAAAATTCGGAAATGAAATTACCGCGGGAATTGTTGAAGAATTAGGACATCGAATTAACAATATCATTTATCCCACTTCCCTCTATATATAAACAAACAAACAAAGAAATACTATCGAGTGTGAATAAATAAATAAATAAATAAAGCAAAGCTGCGTATTCGAATTTCAAACGATAAAGTAAATCAACTTTAGCATACAGATACTGAGTCACTGCGATAACACGTGAAACCGAAATGCATACGCCACTCAGGGAAATCATATGTAAATAGCATTATGCATATCTCCTGACGTAAACAAACGAGCAAAGCGATAAACAGGATCGAGGTAAGACCGCTACCAACCTTCTCGCTGTGTTTGAACTCCCTCATTACGCGATCGTAGTCCCTTTTCGTCACACGTTCCGGATAGCAAACGGCGCTTTTGATAAACGTCTTCAGGCTACGCTCGAGCAGCTGGTTCACCTCGTTGTAGTCGTAATCGTCGTGCCTGATGCCGAACATACATTGAATGTAGTTCCAGATCGCTCGTCTGAAACGGGACGTGTCCACCTTGCTGTGCGTGCCCATTGTGTAGTAGGTAAGGTTGTAGGCTGTCTTGAACTTATCGTCGAGGAGATTGCCGACGTCGTTGTAGAGGCGATTCACCAGCGAGTAGCCATGATCGTCCCAGGAATAGTCCTGCACCCGGAACGTTGGTATGTCGTTCAGTTGACCACGCTGAAAACGAGAAATCGATTGTCGATGGTCAGGTTTATATAGGCTTTACAACTTTAGCTAATATAGGAAACAACGCAGGTATCAAAATTCAGAGTTTTTCAAAAAGTGAAGACATAACTTGTCATCGCTTTAAATCATTTGCAAAATTTGATCCTTTTTTTTTCCCCCCTCGTCAAACGCGAGCATGGCGAAATTTTCTATTTCTTTGCATTATCTGTTGAATATATAATTTGGAGATAATGTGCAAGTGTAACGTCTTTTTTTAATACGTTTTGCTTTTATTTTTAAATAGAGTGTACAACGGTGTGTGCGTGAGTGAAAAATTTTATGTTCGACACTTTTAATGCTTTCTACAAACGTTGGATCTACCGGTGATTATTATCTTTTATCGCTATTGATGATTAATTACAAATTTTACATTGCACACCAAATTGCACATAGAACATTTGGCGTACAGAACATTTTGGCACGCAAGACCGGCATGCACAGTGTTTTTCTACAAGGACTCTTCAATTAGAGAAAAAGATAATAATAATTTACGATACCTGTCGAAAGTTTGGATACATTTTTCCTTCATATACTTCATTATATAATTCCTGTACATAATTTGCCTGTATTGTACAACGACAGATATATTTCAATACTTAGAAAAATACTCAAGGTAAGGGAATCAGTAAGTAACAATTGCCAAAGATAATTACATTTATCGCAAAAATACGGAGGAGGGGGGAGGGAGGGGGCTTCATTTCGCGTAATCGTTTCAAGAAAATATTGTTCTAAACTTATTATTAATGGAAGCGTAATGGGACAATCCAAACGTTTAACTAGTAGCGTAATGCCGTGCAATTAGTAGAGTAATGGAATAACGTTTTTCTTTCCCTCGCTGGTGAATTCGATCACGTCACGTGTTTAAGGCTAAACTGCTCGATGTCGGGAGGACACACATAATGTCGTAAATATTCATGATAAAGCAGTGGTAAACGGTAATCGAATAGACGAAACTTACATATTCATTGGCGGGCTTGAAACGTCGCCTTGAAAACTTTCGAATCAGCCTCGCGAATTATGATACCGATAGCGGTATATATCCTTGTTTTGACCACGATTCTCAATTCTCACGTGTTGTTGAAATAATATATGGAAATATATTGAAGTCAGAAAGACTTCGATCACATGTTTTTCACTCGTAATTATTATAGTCGTTATCAGGTCAGAGACTAATAATTTTGAAAACCAAATAGAAATTTGTTGACTGTATAAGTGTTCGTTTATTAAATGATATTGCGATGAGTGTTTTGATAATAAAAACTAAGTAGAAATCTGTTGAATGCTATGGCATGTGCTCTACATTGAATATTTTTGCGTTCTATATTATACACATTTGTAGTTATTATACACATATGTAATAGTAGTTCTATATTATAGTTGAATGCTATGGCATGTGCTCTACATTGATATTTTTGCGTTCTATATTATGCACATTTGTAGTTGTTATACACATATGTAATAGTAGTTCTATATTATAGTTGAATGCTATGGCATGTGCTCTACATTGATATTTTTGCGTTCTATATTATGCACATTTGTAGTTGTTATACACATATGTAATAGTAGTTCTATATTATAGTTGAATGCTATGGCATGTGCTCTACATTGATATTTTTGCGTTCTATATTATACACATTTGTAGTTATTATACACATATGTATAATAGTAGTTAATATGTATAATTAACATTTGGAATCGGTCGCTTACATTCCCAAAAACATAAATTTTCATAAAAATCCGCAATTTATCTTCATCGCCGCCGAATGACGAAGAAAGATCAGCGAAATTTCCAATAAATTAATCCACTGCGAGCCAACATTTCATCGGCAATTCTTATCGGTCGATTTCTATTTATCAGAGTTTACTTTCTAACGTTGGAGCTACGAAAGTGAATTCCAAACGTTCTACAAATCCAAGGAAATTGAAGGAAATTAAAGTGTAATGTTACGATATACTGCCGTGATTAAATTGTTCAATTCACTACGGATTAATAAATGAAACTCACCTTGGCGAAGTCTTGATAGATGAACGTAGGATCCTCGATGAAATGGCCGATGTCAGAATCGAGAACGGAACTGCTACGCTGTGGCGCCGCGGCCAATTCGGCGGACTGCGTTTCCACGGTCTCGAATCTTTTCGACAGCTCCTCCTGCGTGATCTGGTAGGATTCCGACTTCTCGGAGAGACGTTTCATACGTTCCATCAGCGCCTCGACGCCGACTTCTTGCTCGCCTACTATACTCGGCGATGATGGCGGCGACGGCATGTTTTCTGCACAAATTCGAACGACATCTCCAGCTATTAAGCGTCCAGTTTCGAACTGTGTAATACGTATTAACGTATTTTATTTTAAGCTACTTTCTTATCATATGTACTACTTTTATATACTGTCTATACTTTTATATACTGTTATACTATTATTTTACTACTTTTATTCACTACTATTATGCTAAGTTTTTGTTTCTTTTCTATATGTTTGTAGATTATACAATACTGTGATTTTTCCACCACATTTTGATACCGATATTTATATCGTTAGATATTTATTGTCATGGGCTATCATCTTATGTGCGCAAATGCACTTGTATTGTGTCTGCTTATGACTGGTACTGACTGAAACAGGTCCCCGAAATTAACGAATTGTTAAATCCACGTTCTCAAACGCGAGCGTGTAATTGTTTATTCGTCGTGTGCAGAAATGTCCATATCCGTCTTTTATACAAGGTTCGTCCGTTTGCCTCGGCAGACAAGATTTATTTTTATTGCGCGCGCTCCGGAAAATTATGAGATTCTTAGTTTTCTTAATTAAGACACTGTGCTTGTCTGTTCGTATTTATTTAAACGTCTGTGAAATAGAAACGTCTACTTGTTATCGTTATCCGTTGAAGTACCGACACAGATAATTACACGTCGCTGCTGCCCCGTGAACAATTTAAGAAATACAAAAATACGAATTCTGGAGCGCAGACAACTATCGCTAATATTTTGTTTTCCATTGGAACGAACCACACGTCTGTTAGACAGCGTCTGTTAGATCGTGTCTATCAGCAGTTGGTAAACGTTGGTAAAAGTCGTTGAACTTCAAGAACGGAGATACCTACTTGTTTTCATAAACGCAAAACATAGAGAAAGAGAGAGAGAAAGAGAGAGAAAAGGAGCAGAAAATAAAATTAAAAATCGGTGATTTATAGCGCGACTCGATATTATAAATACCGTTTTAGAAATTCATAGCTATAATGAAACGATAATGACATGCAGTAGAATGTAGTTAATGATATTCAGCCGTCGTGAGTGTTTGAATTTATGTTGTTTAGGTCGCGCGGTACTGAGGGAATTTTAAACGATCGGCGACCGACTTACCAGTCTTGCCGTCGCCATTGGGTATCTTCTTCGGACTACTGGAAAGCTTGTCTTTGGCAGTTGGTACGTTATTGCTATTATCCTGGATGTTCTCTTTGTAATGGTGGCCGGCCACGTTGTCCAGTTCCTCGTTGATGCCGCAGGAGAACACGAAAGACGAAAGGGAGTGGAAGTGGGCCAGAAGAACTATCGCGTGAACCACCTCGGCTAAGGACCAACTGTCCGCGCCTTTGGTCAGTTTCTGTAAATTGGAAAGATCAACCGATTTGTTCTTGCTTCGTGAAAGAAAATAAAATTACTGAATTAACAAAATAATCGACGAAAATTTGCTAAGTGTTGCTGAATTAAATGCAACATTCACTAAATGAAATCAGACGACTAGAAACGATCGACTTGTAAACTTGTACTGTAGTACAACACAGTGTGTTTAACCACTTGCGCTGGGCAACTGATTGCGGACCATAACGAGTGACCAAACCGTCACACAATAATTCGTCGCTTTCTTTTTCAACTCGTCGGTGTATATCACTGGAGTTATTATGATATCACTGGAATTTGTTATTTGTTTTGCCCGGGTTGTACTTAAATATACTTAAAATTGAGAAAGTATTGCAATTTTGCACGTCATTCCAGCGCAAGAGGTTAATACGTTGTACTAACATGTATATAACGAATATAAAAGTGTATCAATTGTTAAACCGAGGATTTAGGATTAATCTTGCTAACAAACTAACCTCGATGTGCGTTTTGTTCAGCAACCACGGCCTGTGAGCTAAAATCTTATTGATCTCATAGAGATCTTGCAGTTTCCCTGGGATTGACTTCAATCCTCGAAGCCACGATGGATCACCGCCTTGGAGGATGAACTCTCCCTTCTGCAGATTTATGAGATAGCTGCACTGATGCCTACCGGCAGCCTAAAAAAAAAAACAAAAAACAAAAGATAAAATTCGTAATTTTATTTACTTTTCACTTTTGTCGAAGAATAATTAATTCAAGAATAATCTTATTCCAACAATAATCAATACACTGTCAAGATGGCGTCGCTGGTGATAGCGTGATAATATTTTAGAACGGTCAAACTAAAAGGAATTAATAAAATTCAAATATCTGGAGACTTAGCAAAATTTATAACTTGTGTAAAAGCTGAATGTTTAATTCTGACAAGATACTACTGCAATAGATTTGCTATTTTCTGTTATACCGCGTTAAATTTTGTTTTTTTCCCTTCCGTTAAAACCACACAAGTCCGTGGAAAGAGTCTTCTCTAAAACCGAAAGGGGGTGTGTATAAGGGAGTAAAGAGCGTCGGAGGCGAACACATACGGCGCGTTTCATCCGCGTGAGGCGACTAACTTCCAAAGAGACCGCCGAAAGAAAGAGTCCTCGAGCGTGGAGACAGCCAGGGGGTAGAGAGATCAACGAAAAAGAAGAAAAAAAAAAGAAATAGGGGGAGAAAGCGTCGAGGGATGCTGCCGGAGGAGAGACAAATTGCCGACGACGCGACGTATCGAGGCGCGAAATTGAGCAAGAGCACATCGATCGTGTACATTGCGCTCCCTATACTGCCACGCTCTCTAACACGACACATGGACACGACGAGAAAAAAAGAAAAAGGACTTCCAACTCTCGAGCGACTCCCTTCATTGCGATATTTCCCTATCGCAAATTTTCCTGGCTCAATAATAAATTACGATCCATTTTCACCCTTCTTCGAACTGCTCACGCAACGTGCGTTTGCGACTGCTCGTTTGCAAGTGTTTGAACATGAATGTGAATATATTATTATAAAACATTCTGACGTTTTGTTATAATATCTGTTATCATTATATTGAGGAAAATTTGAAATTAATTTGAAAATTTATATAACAGTTATAGGATATTTGTTGCAATATATATATATATATATATATTTAGTAAGCGTATAGTATGAAGTTTGAAATAAATTTAAAATTATATATGAAAGTTATATTTATAACCTTAAAATTATTTGAAGCTCGTATGTGCCACAATCCATTACGTCAATGATCAGTGGGACCTTTTATTATATGATTAAGATGACTATTCATACCAATCTTTTACTATGTATATGTTTATAATAAATATCTTGTAACTTTTATATATATATATATATATATATATATATATATATTCAGATAGTTTTGAAATTTCGCCTCTCATTACTATCCTAGCGAAATTTCAAAATGTTTTGTATAATAAACATAATACAGTTGAATAAGTTCTATGTATACTCCAAGTACATTCGATCTGATGTTTATCTTCAAAATTACGAATAATTATATTGTTTTATTTATGTTTTTGTCACATTAAAAAATTCTATCGAATATATGTTCACATTTTCAGTAAGTTCATTGTATATCAGACCTAATGTTCATCCTCAAAATTATGAACAATTATAACTATTACATCGACTGACTGTTCTGGAATTTTTGGACTAGTATTGCAACAAGTGTAGTAAGCAATTCATTTCCTGATGTTCGATTAGACGTTTCAAATCAAAGATCACATAGTTTAACACTATTACTCCGCACTATACATAATTTATTCCCGCTTTCTCATGTATATATTTATTATTGTCTTTGCATTTAAAAGTCGCAGACGAGGAACATGACAAGTCACACTTCCTGCCTTTCACGCGACAGCGATTTTAAAATTCAACACACCGTCCAACAAATTTTTTGCATTTCTACGGCCAAACAAATATTTTAATTGAACGCGCAATTTGCATAAATATCCGCAGTCCAATTGTGAATCAGAAAGGAGAAAGGAACCACTGTCGAATCCAATGTGCGATACGTTCGATATTGAAACTTTGAAAAAAAAAAAAACAGAGAGAGAGAGACCAACTCGTTTCGAGTTGTAAAGACGAAACGGGCGAACTTGCTGAAAACTAATCGACATTGTGACCTCGCCTATTGTACCACGTTGGAAAACAACATGGCGAGAAAGAGGGGACGTGACTACATTGGCGAAATAACGTGGCTCGATCGGGTTCTTCTTATTGGTTTGTTTTGATCGCGCTGGAATTACATCAGAAATTCAAATGACCAGCGATGGAACAAGTATGTATTGGGAAAGCGGATAGGAGACTACGTAGAATAGGTGGACGAACGGCTGAGGAAAACGGGGAACAGGACGTGGGATGATGAAGCGCGTAAACAAGACACGTGTTTACCATAGCCGTAGATCGATCACGACTCAAGAGCCGTGATAAGCGATAAGAGAAGTCTGCGAACACGAGGCAACCCTTTATGGCAACTCTGAAATTTTTTTTGCCCGCCAACCCCCTGCTGGCTGCGGGGTTGAGCGAATCGAAGATAAAAGGGAGGACGAAGACTAACGAATCGTCTCTTGTTTCCATTTCAAAAATAGCTTCATCTCGCGTTCAGAACCGCGAGTAAATCATTTATCTGTTATTTGAGTCGATTTTCATTGGAGCAAAGTAATAGCAAATAACCTGAGTATATTGGGCTGAGAATTTTTAGATTATCTCATTGAATAAAGCTCTGTAATAACCTAATCTACAACATATTTACTTATTCTATAAAATCGGAAAGCTATTCGAGAAATTATTTATAAAAATGGATACGAGATACGAGGATGAAAATGAAGAATTTACTTTACTTGATAGCTAAATAATGACATGATCAGTTGCTCGTTCAAATAAACTAGCACAAGGCTAATTTTCTAATATATTATTCAGGTTCGCTTGTATCATTTAATTGGGCATTATTCGATCATCTTATTTAGCTAGACGTTTCATTTAATTCATTTAATTCTTCGTGGAAATAATTTTTCTCTACATTGTACAAAATAACGTCTCATTTTACTTTTACTTAAATAATTTCTGAAATCCTTGTATATCGATAAATAATCTCATCACAGGTTCTTACGTCAGATTATTTGTTACTTTGTTCGAATAATTGAGTCAACTCGAGCAAAAAAGATTATCTCGAGACGATCTATTTAACTCTCTACACTGAAAAAATTTCCAAAACGACAATAATAAATTAGTCGAGATAACTCACTGCTTCAAACTGTTATGTTCTACTTTGCTCCAAATGAAATGTGGTTGAATCTGCTGCAGACCTCGAACGAGACAATCGAAGAGGATGGATGTAGAAAGCAGCTAGCATAACCCGTTGAGAAAACAATTTTCTTGGAATTTCTTTTTTAGAGCAGGAAAGCTGTTAAAGAAATGAAACATGGTGGTCTGTGCTTTCTAACGAAGTTGCAATTTTTCTGTTTTTTTTTTTTTTTTCCTTTAAGCAAGTTTTTTTTTTAGGAAATATTTCGAGAAGTTTTTTCCATCTGTCGAACGATAAATTTCGTCGAGAAGTGGATACAACAATCTCGCGAACGAGTGATAAGTCATGGTAATGCGCGAGATAATTTCGAATACCAGTGTAACAGCAGATGATGATACCAACGGCACGTGTACCCTCGTTAAAAATTGATACAACCACAGGCAGATGAGGTTTTCCTCTGTCGATATTGCATTATTCCCTCGAAAATTTGATTTATATACCGGCAATAATAATTACATTGCGTAAATCAAATTTTAGAGCGAATGATGCAATACTGACAAAATACAAAACGATCTGCGAGCAGTGTAGCACAAGAGTACATTTTGGAGATCATAACAGATTAAAATATAGTAAAATTTTAATTACGTCGTAAAATTTTAATTTCGTCGAAAAATTTAATAGTACGTCGCAAAATATTATGTATATTATGGGCCTGTTGAGTACTTTTTATCTCAGTCTGTTATCCAGTATGTCATTTGCATAGTCGAACACTTTTTAGTCGACGAAATTTATTTTATCGTTCTAATCAACGTGTTAATGAACCACGAAATGACAACTAAATTAATCAATTAATTAACAAGAACAAAGTTGTACAATACATATTATCCTGTATTATTTTGTATTTCATGTACAAGTCTTTACAAACTGTTCAAGAAATTTTTATAATTTGAATGAAAAAGTTCCCATAAATTTCATGAATGATAAACTCTACGAATGTTTTCATATGTAAAATATGTGTAATATTATAAATAATATTATCAAATGCTTTCATACGTCAAATATGTAAAATATTATTTATCTATATAAGACACAGTAACTTCAATCAAATTTGAACTACTATGAACTCTACTATGAACAAATATGTGTCATAATACACAAAATGTTTAACTCTACCATATCTTTCCACAAATTGTGCTATAAATTTCGAAAAAAAAACATTTCCATAAATCCTAATCGTATACACGTACATATATCTTTAATTAGCTCTCTTAACTCAAGAAACATTTGTCGTAATGTCAGACAGTGAATTTTTATGCAAATTTCTATTTCTGTGAATGATACTACAGAACATCTCAATGATTCTTCCGACGACTTTTGCACGCTGGCAAATCTCGCGAATCTCGATCCAAGAGTCACTCCAGGTGAAATGTTTACAGGTAGGAAAGCTGTTCTTTTTTTCAGATATCTTATCGCTTTATCGTCTGCCGCCTACCCTCTCTGTCCCTTTCGATACAAGGCTTTCAATAATCTCTTCCTCTTCCCCGCGACCCTTTTCCCACGAACAACGTCAACGTGTTATCAACGTTCGATAAAGCTGGTTTTCGGCTCGTTCAAAACAGCAATATTTCGTGCGCGACTACTTTTACTAGGCACAGGCGGAATAGTTATCGCGTTATCACGTGCACCGTGACATTCATCTGTTTTAGTGATTGGATCAAATGTCACGAAACGAGCACTCCGCGAACTCGCCTTCAACGTTGAAATTAAAATTGAAAATTTTGAAACGACTCGTGGCTGGCTAACTTGCTAAGTTTAGTCGCACGTAGTTTGAAATTTCTACAGAAAAAGGTTTGCAAATTTGTCACACCAACATTCTGTCATGTATTTCATAAATTTTTTTAATAATATTACACGTTATCTATCTAATTTTACCGTAAGACACGACAATTAGCCCGAAATAATTCAATTTCAATTAGATTGAAAAAGAAAGTATTAATTAATTCTATTTTTGTATCTCAAGAAAAATAAAAAACACATAATAAACGAATACTATGTCGCTTTATATAAGACGAGGACAAAGTAGTAAAATTGCAAGTGTGACAGTGTCCGTTACCTGTTACCGGACACTTGCAAATCTTTATCCGGCAAAAAGCCGCAAGTAATCTACGTACAATCGACGATCAGGATTGCTCGCTGCAATTCCCAAATGCTGGATTACCAATCTACCAACGCAGGAAGTCACAGCCTCGATGCAATATCCTATCTACAGTCCGCCTAATCAGCCGAACAACTACGAATCTACACAACCCAATTTCGATTCGTTTCTACGTCAGACCGATGAATCCCTCCTCCATCATCGGGGGGCTTGTTCGCTGTTGTGCACGCGCGTCGAATGTTTAATTTCACAGCGATAAAAAGCGAACAGCCGACGCACGATAATAGTATTCTTTCGGAAACTAAAGCTAAGCTCGCAGTTTATTTATAATACACAACACATAGACATTATTTAGAAAATAGTCTAACGATCCGTGGCTACGTAGAGTAAAGGTCAATGGGTAAAATTGTTTATCACTGAAAGTAAAACATCACACAGATACAGGGTGATTCAGACGATTTTGTAACAAATCGATATATTTTTATCGGTTGAAACAAAAAAAATCTTTGAAAAGTGAAATTATCATTCCTTCTTCTCGTTCTTCTAAACAGAAACGTATCCGTTTCTTGCATAGATCAAATCCTTCCGTCATTCTAAAATTAATTATACAATCGAAAAATGCTTCAAACATTCTTCCAATCTTAATTTTGTAAAACTCGTTTCGTGCGAGTACCTAACTTTTAATGCTTGTTCCGTGCATGTACCTAATCCAACTGTTAAACTTGTTTTCCTTATCATTCCTTATGAAATGTCATTCGTCAAATTTCCATCGCGTTGCTACGACACATTTTTCAGACTAACGATTAGGTTCGATGCGCGCGCGAAAGAAAAAGGAATGATTTTCAATTCTAAATGTCGTTTCAGCAATAAGAGTACATACGATCGTGCTCGTTACGATAGCCTGTAGAAATGTATGATCTAGTTTATAATTTTTCACCACGAAATGAGCCGTTCGAGCGGCGGAGAACACATAACGTTACGAAACCCGTTGCACTTGCCTGGTTTCTTTGATAATCTTTGGCCCAACGACCCGTTCGACGAGGGACGACCGTGGAACAACTTGGAAAAAGGCAAACGACGATGTGCTCCGAGAGAATACTCGGCGATAATCGCTCTGTTTGTCGCGCGCGAAAATATTGTAATTGTGAACACGTGAACAAACATGTTTCCGTCGATCACATGTATGTATGTACAGCAATTTCTTCACGCGACTATCGTAATCGACAATAATAGAATAGAGGAACATACTTTCAGCAACTGCTTGACGTTGACGATCGTGTGTTGTAACTGGTTGATATTTGTACGTGCAATTGAGAGGAAACATTTAGCTTCAATAGTTTTGGCAAAACTATTTATATTTGAACAAGCATCCATTGGATTATAACATTGAAATGAAACAGCAGGTTCAAATAGGGAAGATAAATATTTTTTTTAAATAAATAATATTTCCATTAATAATAATATACTGATGCGTGTATTATTGTATATAAATTTACTATACATAATATAATCAAAGATCTAATGTCTGTTAAAATATAACATCCAAATTAAAGAATTTTTTAAAATTTTCAATGCAATCTGATCATCTGCCACGCTCTTTTTAAATAAACTACTCCGAAAAAAAAGCACCTGAAGAGACGCGAATCATTTGAAATAATTAAGAGATCATGAAAGTTAAATAAATCCGTGTACGATAACTCTGAAGAAACTGATTTTCCTCGTACTTTCATAAAGTAAGTTTCATGACTATTACGTAATGCGCGCCTCCGATTAGAATTCATATTTGGAAACTGATCTTCCCAACGTTAATCTCATTAGTATTGGTTCATATAATGACGAGTTTTTCCACGCGTAATCGGTAAGGATCTCGCATTTGAAACATTTCTTCCCGCGTTTTCTCTACATTTCTCATTATTAACATACAGTCTTTGATACTCAATACATTATCCTCTTTGAATCACTAATAAGTAGATTAAGTGAGTTATTAATTACTTAAATTATCAGTAATTAGATACTAGTAGTATGGACAATAAACTAAAACGCTTGATCCTACTAAACATTATTCATGTAGAAATATTTAGTATTTTCCTTGAACTCGAAAAAAAAGTCGTTCGAAATTGCTGCTGCGCTAAAAAGACTTCAATGCAACTATTCTCTTCTCTTAATATACAAAACTGAAGACTTGTGCAAAGAAAAGAAAAAATAAACTCTACTCTCCAAATTTAATTTCATTCTTTTGCAAGAAAAAATTGTAATGAAACAACGGATGACTTAACCTTCGCTATCTACCAGCGTTTCTAAATTAATAGACATCGCGATCGTCTCTCCCTGAGGAAAATGGTGTTCCAGAGGAGATCCAGACGTTTACGAGAGGAATTTTCTCCTCTTTCACCCCTCTCTGTGTTAGCCAGATGACGTTATCGCCAAAGAAAAAAGGAGTCGCCGCTATTACGGCGAATTAGATAAAGAGAAAGAGCGGCGATGCACTCACCATAATGGCGATGAGATGCCTATAGTCGTAAGGAAGCGGTCCGTCACCCCGCAGGATGAAATGTTGGGTACGGAGGAAGTGCTCCAAGTACGAAGGATGCGAGGCCATCACCCTTGAGACATGGTCCAGCCTGTTATTCTGGAGGAACGCGTCCATCAACAGAATATGAGTCTGTAAGAAATGAAAAAAAAAATGGAAACAGTTAGTAAGATTTGATTAAACAGAAAAATGCGAGAGATTGATTAAAATTGTCAATTTTTTTTATATATAAATACATTATTTCGCACTTTTATGGATTAGAAAGTATTTGTATTTATGAGTGATTGTCCTTAACCTAGATATGAATTTTCTACCATATTTCCTTCAAATACATAGTTAAACTCTATTAAAACTGTTAAAAGCATTACTGAGTATTACCAGCTGATTAATCTAAAAATTTGATTGTCAATTTTGAAGAATAGCACAAACATGTATTGCAAAAATAATGTAAAATAATAATGTATTGTGAAAATAATGTTTATAATATTAATATTATAACATATTACATAAAAATATAAAATATAATAACGTAATAATATCATAAAAATATAATAAAATTATGTTTCATTCATGCTCCGAAAAGAAGCTTCAACTTTGTCTAATATTTTGAAAATAAATCTCTCCTTCGTGAAAGCAATGCTTATGAAAAACTAAAACTCGAAATTCTGCGACACGTTGCTCTTACTGTCAACCCGCTACTCCGCTGTTTTTTCTCGAATCATTTGATCAATATTAACAAACTATACGTAGCTTTTAAATATTTGGTCTTAGCGTCTAATACAATTATACTTCGAAGCAGTGAACAAAATGTTGCCAGAAAGAAACGCGAATAACGATATGTGGAATTCGTTTAATCACGCTGTACACACATATGTATATATGTGTTGCGCACGTGATGATTTATCGTGGAAATTGGCGCGACGTAACGTATGCAAATGGCATAATCGCGTTAATGACATAATCGTGTTTACCGCGGGATTTGGAACAGGAAAATTGGGTCACTCGGAAGCAAATCTCGAAATCGAGCGGTCGACTTTCATCATCCCGAACGTGGCACGCACGTCAGAGTCTTCGCGTCTGATATCACTTGCACTCGCGTGAACGTGTTTAACGTGTCAATGTCACATATACGTGTGTCGGTGTACTCGTATTGACACCATCGTACACGGCAGAAAAAAACCACGAAACCGATAGACGTTAATAAAATTCGTTTCTCGAAACGCAGACGCAGCCTCTAAACATAGATCTTACGCATCGAGGTCGCTCTTTGGAACAACACCCTTTCGCTCTGAAGGGGCAACTCTTCTTTCTTCTACCTGGCCGCCAGTGAATTACGAGCCGGTGTTCTCCCTCGTTTAGTCGAAAGTCAGAGCTCTTAACGACTGATGGAAGTTCACGCCGGTATTTTCGATGTTCAACCATTTTCACTGGGCAACTGACTGCGGACCATAACGAGTGACCAAACCAGTATACAATAATTTGTCGCTTTCTTTTTGAACACGTCGGTGTGATATCACCGGATAGAAATTATTGAAAAGTAATAAATAAATTTATTGCTTTGCCTGGGTTGTACTTGAATATATATTTGAAATATATATTTTAGGAAATATTGCAAAAAATTCTTAACGTGCGTGGCAAGAAGTTAACTAGTACTACTGTTGGTTATCATAAGAAGAGGGTGAGATATCAGAATCGCTGATTTAAGTGAAATTTTTAACGGGATTCATTGTAATTGATATAACACATAAGTTTTCATTGTATGAATTATTATATTTTGATATCCATTGATTCTAACTAAATAGGCTGAGATATTTAATTTAATAGATGTCAAAAATCTCACTGTTGTGAGTTGGTTTCAATATTTTGTTCGACAAAAGTTGACGAAAACAAATTTTTATAATTTTTATAAAACAAGGTACTCGATATTTCTTTCATATATCCATGATATGAAGCTATTTAGATTTCTCAATGAATTTTTACCAACTTCAATTTTATATTGCACTTTGCCAATGCTTCTCTGCAAAAATTAACAATAATTCTGATTGTATGATAATGCCTCTTGCTCGACCACCGAATGTTTTTCAAGTTCCACTGATCAGGATGTCCAAGTCCACGTCCTTTATCGATTGTTTTTCACCAGGAGGGAACCGGAGAGAAAAACAGTCGGCATTCAGACACGATCGCCGGTTGTACGAGCGCGATATATTAATGCGAACAGTTACCGACCTTGTCGTGGGTCGACGACCCGCGCCTGTACAAATTAAACGGGAAAGACATTTCACCGGGGATAGGCGAGCTTTCGCCACGCGAGGAATATCAATTTCGACGATGTGGCGTCGATCGATCGCGCAGGATCGACGAAGGATCGACTAGAAGATCGCTAGGCGTGTAGTGTCGAACAGACTGCGTATTTTTCATACTTTATCTTCGATATAACTGAAGAAATGGCGACTAATTTCGCGAGTATTCGTTTAATGTAAAATACGAAACACGACTACCAAATTCTATCACAATTCTCGTGGCTTTCGAGATTTTCAAAAGCCGAAATTCCTTTTAGGAATCATTCGGAATTATACCAAGTACAATGTCACGAATAATTGTTTATATAAAATACTAAATATTAATACTGAATCCTATCAAAATCCTCGTGACTTTCAGAAACTCTCAAGAATCATACTCGAATCTGTATTTAAAGGTACATATGTACATGAAGTGTCTCATCAGTAGCTACGTGAATGTATTCAAAAGCTATGTAAAAGATTATTTTAAATTTCGGATGTCTTGATGAGCAATTCATAAAATAAATATATGATTCTAATATAATATTAATATAATATTAAATATTATAATAATATAACATAAATATAATATTGTCCTATATGATATTAAATAATACTAACGACTGTCAAATCCTGCCATAACTCTCAAGACTTCCAAGACGATCGAGACTAGATTTAAGATTCTCAGAACTCGAAAGAATTCTCGAGAATCGTACTCAAAACGATTCGAATTTTGTCATCAAACGTATAATAAAGATTCGAAGTTACTTGAAATGTCTTATTGTAAGGTTTTATCACTAGCTACGCCTGCTCAAAAGTAGATAACCATGGGTTTCGAATGTCTTGACTATCAAATATTACAATTCTCGTGATTCTCAAGATTTCCAAAACGAACAAGATCGTCAGAATTCACAAGAAGAATCGTACTGGAAACGATTCGAATTTTGTCGTCGAATATACGATACAGATTCGAAGCTGAATTACACTGGAGTGTTGGAAAACCTCTTTCTTTCGCACGATCGAAAATATCAAAGGAACAGACCGTGACGAAACCTTACGCGCAAAAGCGTGCGCGAGCAACGTTAATGCTGTCAGTGGAAAAATATCGCGGACACGCGCCGATGCCTCTGCGTTTGAAACAGCTTGAACAGTTTTCAAAATAAGACGAAGGTGACGCGTGATAATCGGCGTTGATTCGCCAGTTCGTAACTTATCCGTTACATTTGGATTATCATCGATAATTATCTGGCAAGGCTGATATCTAGAGGCAGATTCCTGTGAAAACAACAAGAGTTATTTGTTCTGTTCTACGAAATGGCGGGAAAAGTGTCTAAGGTATAAAGTACGAAATTAATATCGTTCGTTAATGATAACAATCTTGGAAGAACTTGAGGACTTGTTCAATTATGAAGTACGCACAGTTGAATGTTTATAATTCGAAAATCTCTGTAAGACGAACATTTCCTTCATTCACTTTCGAGGTATAAACTTGCATTGACTCGTTATAATTATAAATTATATAAATTATGACTCGCCATAATTATAAATTATATAACTACATAACTTATAATTATATAACTATAAATTAATTTAGAAAATTTCAGATACTTTTTTGTTTATTATTTCCTTAACCTCTTGCGCTGGAATGACGTGGCACGCACGTCGAGAATTTTTTTGTTCCAAAATTGTAATATTTTCTCGGTTTTAAGTATATCCAAGTAAAACAAAATAGGCAAAGTAAATAATAGATTTGTTAAGTCACTTCTCAATAATTTTTATCCGGTGATATACCGACGAGTTCAAAAAGAAAGCAACGAGTTATTGTATAAGGGTTTGGTCACTCGTTATGGTCCGCAAATAGTTGCCAGCGCAAGTGGTTAATAACGTATTGTTAAAAAAATGTCTGTAATAATTATCAGTCTCAGATTTGTATTTGGAGTAAATTGATAATTTTTTTCCTCTACGGGTAAATATAAGAAATTCTGATTATACATTTGAATTATTTGTTACGTAAAAAATAATCTTGCCATACATATTTAATAATCTGTTTAAGCCCCACTGCTTCAATTCTATTAACGAAAATACAATAGTGCACAAATATCCGCAATCTATAATAGTGATGATAATAATCTTGCTATTTGTATATCTTCCTACGTATATTCGTTATATCGTTATTATTATTATTATGACATTTGGTAATTTACTTAGATTACATTTCTTTAATTCCATTAATGAAAACAGATATACTCCTTAAATAATAGTCCTTCTTGTTGCAATAAAACTCTGCCAAATGTATACGAAATGTTGTTTAACAAGTTCATGCTATTTATTAAACAATTCCATTACGAAAACTCGCTGTATACTAGTATTCAGTACTATTCTGCATCGCACTACGCAGTTCGCCTTATCAAATGAATTTTTACTTCTGCAACCGTGCGATATTAATAAGCAACCGATAGAAATCGAACAGTTTGCAACGTTGTTGCGCTAGCAAATTCCAGTAGAACAAACCAGTCTGGCTAAAAACAGCCAGTCTATGGAAATGAAGAAAAAAAAATACGACAGTTGAGTTTGTTAAGCGTTTGCGACGGTAATGACAGAGAACAGGATGAAAAGAGCTTAATCATTGCGACTTGACTTTTGACTAAACGATTCGATTTTGAATCGAAAACGAAACGCTGATTGTCGGCTTTTATTTCCACCGATTTTCGAACGAATTAGGAGCAGAAATTCTCCTAAAAATTCTCGATAATTGTGACAGAAACTTACAGATACCCCGTCACTTTGTCAAATTCTCTCTCGATATCGAAACTTCGGAGTAAATAACGTCTGCCAGCGAAAAGATCGACGACG